GGGCGGACCATGAGGCCCGCCCCCGGATCGGGGCATTTGGCAAACCGTTAGGACGTGCGTGGACGCTACTCGAGACAGAAGCGAACGGGAAGCGTGCGGATGACTGAATGGGAATCGGACGTAGGAAGGTAGCAGCCCCGTAGTAGGACGAGAGGATACGGAGCAAGACAATTTACGGTTAAACGGTCATTTGTTAAGATACACTCATACTCGGGCATACTGTTTGAGCGTTGTTCTTGTCAGGGTTCAAGAGCAAAAGGAGCAGTGTGGTTGCGTAATCCCGCAGTGTTGCGTCTCCTGCTCGCTACACTCCACTGACTACTGACAAGGATACCCCCAAAGCCTCAGCCTTCGCGGTCCCAGTCCATTGGCTTTTTCTGGGGCTGTCGTCGGTAAGGGAGTTCCGAAGAGCTGCTTGGGTGTCGTCTGGGCAAGCATGCAAGTGAAGTACGGCAGCCCTCCAGAGTGCGTCAGAACGATGGCGGTCTTGGGGTCGGGTGAGCGACATCGGAATGATTTGATGCGGGATTGCGCCAGGCCACGAGGCCTTGCTTCTTAAGAATCAGGATCTAAAGGCATCGTTGCCAAGTAGCTTCGTGAGCGATTGAGCCCTGCGCAAAGCTTCAGCGGTGGAAACCAGTGACTGGACCGTGCCCTGCTTCCACTGGAATAATTGCGTTTGTCACTTTGTCAGTGTTGTGGCCACCTGCGCGATGGTGTCGCCTGCCGACACGACAAAATTTTTGGCAGCAATGTCAATCGACACAACGATACGAAACTATTGCTGTCGTACTGCACGTGGCTGCTTCAGTTTGTGTTGCATTCAACGAATCTCTTGCAGTGTCGAAACCAGGGGTGGGAGCAATCCCAAGGCGAGAGGCAGCTTTGAACCTGTGGAACATGTCAACAGTCTCATGATTTTTGCGTCCATGGAACGGTCTGTTTGCCATCTGTGGTTTCTGCTTAATGCGGGGCAAACTATGTGGTTTGCGTAACAGGTGGGCACACTACAGAAATGCTGACGCTCATGGAAGCGCTGAACCGGAGTCGTTACACGCCCAGGTGAAGCCCCAGAGCATGGTGGTGGATAATGGCGATTTGCGATCTGGGACAACAGTAGTGGCTTTCCAATGGGTTTCAGTTCACTTGAAGCAGACTAATGTCAGGCAGCCCAACATGCAGTTGTTCAGAGCATAGTTGGGAGCATTGGCCAGCCCGCCTTCGAGGTTGGGCAGGATCATGAAGCAAGCTTGTAGAAGCATCCACCTGGGCCTGTCCCATGCCTTGCGCCACTGCCAAGTGACATCAGAGGATCATGCAATTGCAGTCCTTGACAGCATCTATTGTTGTGCTGTTGGTTGCTGATGTGTTTGAATGCTGCTGAAGTAGGGAGTTGAGAATGCAGGTGCTACGTTGTGGCTGACACAGACTCCCTGAGCGCTGCAAGAGCCACAGAGAAAGAGCGAAATTGGGTAAGTTCAACTGCGGGCTTCTTGGGTTTTGATGGGCTCATCACCGATCCAATCGCCATGTTCAAAGTCAGTTGCTGAATTCACTTGGTTGATGGCATGGCCATATTTTGTGATCAGTTGTTCAAGTCAGTTGCAGTCATTTCAATCAAATGCAACGTGTTCCACTGCAACTGCAGGCATGTGACAGACATGACCATTTTGAGCAGCTGACCTGGACTTGCTGGCCAGTATTGTGCAATGGCAGACACTTTTTTTTGGCCACTCGGGCCATCCAGCGTTTGAATACCTGTGCACAGGGCACACTAGAGACGATGCAGATGTCCAAGATACCAAGGAGCAGAGAAGTGGGGCAGCCCTTTGTAACATCAGTGTGGACAACGTTGTATGCATTCTTTTGGTGTGTGAAGCTTGTGTGGGATTACAAACCGCAGCTGGTGAGTTTGTTTGGCATCCCATCTGAGCACTGGGTGAGCCATTTGAAGATGCTCAGAGATAGGAATCCATGCCACCTGAGGATCATCCTCCCTTGTCCAGGATTGGGAACTTTGGCCACAATGAATGAAGTCATTTAGAGGTCTCCAGCTCCACCAGGAACAGAACATAGCATCCGCACCATGAAATGCAACAAGGCCTGTGCCCATTGGACCCACTTCGATGGACATAACTTCAGTTTGCTACAGATATGAGTTCTAGGTTGCAGAGATTCCCACAGACAGTCTTCATGCACCACAAGTAGCAGGTAGTCCATCGGAATGCATGACTGCCACTGGGTCTAAATGCATGCTGGGTTGGGTGACGATGTGCAAGTTGTGTTCTGCTGTACCTTGTTAGGCATGCCTATTTCTTAACAGAAGTATTGGCACCGGGGCCTGGAAAATTCAAGAGTGTGCAAAACAGACAACAGAAGGCATTTGTTGATATTGTTCATGTTAATTGTTGATGGGGTGTTGAAACACCACAGGCTTTGCAAGGGGAACATAATGCTGAAGCAATATGCTGGCATGCAGTCTGCTCAGTTCAACAGCGGATGCAGTCAGCCAATACAATCAGCCGCTCGGCCACACTTTCCAACCAGCATCTGCCAATAGCCAGGCTTATTGACAGAAGATACATGCAATATGAAAGTGCACCGGAACGTTCTCTGAATGTTTCTGCCAGCCCACACCTCCCACAAGGCCTTGACACCCACAGTGAATCCACAGTGACCAGAATGAGAGGTTTGTTTGAGAGCTACTGTGCTTTTCCCAGCTGTTGCTCAATGGTCCGGGCACCTGCATCCCTGTTTGTGTGATGGCACTCATGTTCAGGTGAGCAGCTGGGCAGGAGTCACAGACGAAAACGCAATCTACAATCTGGAATGTAGTTACCTGTGCATCCCCTGACTGCAGTACCCTGATGGTGTGGGTAATTTGTATTCCAGGAGTCATCCACTTGCCTTGTTCTGGATTATGTTTGTTTCAGCATAGAATAGCTGCCATATTATATATCTGTCTTTGGGGTGCACTCTTGGCACCTCAGAATAGTATCATAGCGTTTTTCATCAGCAGTTCGGTTAGGGATGTTACTGAATTGTACGGTTGTGTTGAAATATACAGGCAGGTGTGAGTACATCATGTGCTGATGCAGCATGGCTGCGATTCCTTATGCAGATCTGCAAATGCAGGAAGCATGGGCAAAACTGTGTCCCTGCAGGGGTCTCAAAGTCTTGGGTCCACTATCAGCAAGTGCCAATCACGCTGTCATTTGCTATGCAGATGTGGTGTGACAATGACTTCAAGGGAATCCTCATCTTTGAACCTGCATGCACAATGGTCGCATGGACATTCTGTGCTGATGGTGCACTCTACTAGTGTTGGTTTGTCTCCTTAACAGTAGGAGCCACACAAGAATGTAAAATGCTTTGATGCACAAATGCTATCAAGCATTGATACCATGTGATGTGTTTTCACTTAACAAATCTGCTATCATACACTGCAAACGTATGTATGCATGGGATGGTGCTTTTGTTCTCGATCCACCTGTTGCATGGCCACTTCCTGAAGCGCGTACGTGGTGGCCTCACACCAACCTCCATTGTTGTTGTTGTTCCAATCGCAGGCTGATGGGCTTGATGGATCTGAAGATTGTTTATTTTGAGAGCATTGCCAGAGTGTCCTCCCTGTCACTTTCAGGCAAGATCATATATCAGGCCAGAATGGCAGATGTGTTCCTGGTTCAATGGGAAACACTTCTAGCCAAGTACCCTAGGGCTAAGTGTCTAGGCCGCTTGTTCTGAGACTGGCAGACAGCAAACTAACTCGTATGAGGCAGACACTATGGACCTGCACTCCGTTTTGGCATGATGTTGCGGGGTGTACCAGGTCAAGTCAGGTGCTTGTGAAACAGGATGCAAGTAGGGTCTCAGATACGGGCATCGTGAGTCATCAATCGGTAAAGCAAACACTGTATGATGCAAAATGTAACAAATCGGCTTGGCTGAGAGCAGAATCTGGTCATTTCGCTTGTTTTTCTATGTGCAGTTCATGGAGGACCATATCTGAGGAATGCACCAGCAGGGGACAAACCAGGCCAGGGGCGCTGACAATAGTGTTGCTGATCGTGTGGAAGTCTTGGCCCAGGTTACCCATCTTCACTTGCTGCACTTTGCTACATCCCCATGGATTCCACAGTACCGCTGCTTTTACTTCTGTTTCCACTGCAGAGCAATGCTACAAAGAGTACGGCTGCATGTGCATGCTACTTGGATGATCCATACATGGAATCGATCTCACAGGTTTTTTGTCCTTCACCTTGTTGATGTCACTTCAAGGACACTCAGAATGCAGCTCAAGTTGGGGTGTGTGGACGCACGTTACCGAGTTTGGGAGCTGCGATTCTTGAGGACATCATGTGCCCATGCACCAACCACTTGAAATGAAATGAAGAAATTTCTGTGAAAATTCAACCCACGTCAAGCGTAACGACCGGTTCCCTGAAATACTCATCGCCATTTGGGGCCATGTACTACGCCATCTTCACCCTTCGTTTGATGCCTTCACCGCATTTTTTTTCCTCCCTCCACAGGTGTGCTGACATCCAGGCACACAGAAGTGGAATTCAGCTGATTTTGCTCCGCTTTGCTGAAAGTTGCGACTCCTTGCTTCAACATCTGCTACTCAAAGCACGGCCACTGCACAGTTGCGCAGCAAAGTGCTGCTGTCCCCCAATGCTATCACATTTAAACCTGGCTCCACTGGGCCACACAGTTACTATACGACAGCAGGGCAACATGGAAGGCTTTGTGGAACACTGGGACAGGGATTGTGTTTGTTCGCTGCATTGCCGCAATTCTCTCTTCTGAAGAGAACGGCAGAGGGTTTGGACAAGAGACACAGTCAATTCCTTTCTGCGGCTTTTTGATTTCAACCCACCCAAGCTCCTCAGCGTTTGCTTTTTGGCATCTTCTGGGGGCTTCACTGGTGGCTGGAGGCTCCCTACAAACTCGCAGGCTGCCTCCTTCCCTCATTAACTTCAACTTCTCATTTTGGCGGCGTCTTGGCAGTACTTGAGGTCAGCACATAAGTCGGATCGATAGCACTGCGGCAGCTCCGAGATGCACAGTCCACTCCACTCGACTCAGAGGTTGGCCCTTAGTGCACACAGTACTTTTCGTGAGTGTGTGCGGGGTCCACAAGAGGGCAGCCTCCCATTCTGCTGTCCCGCCAATGAGCGGAGGCAAGGGCACTTTGTTGGAAGTTCCAACTCCAAGGGCGGCTACCCCGTAGGTACTCCTCATACGATACACCGTTCCCCAGCTCCTCGGACGCATGGTACAAGGGCCCCACCGCTCCCGCAACGGGGCCGGAAATTGGCAGACCCCAACGAGGGCGGCAAGCAGCTGGAACGATGGCGGGCGCCCCCCTGCGCCCCCTCCTGCTGCTGTGCCTGGTGCTTGCCACCGTGGCCGACGTGGTCGTGTATGAGGTGCGGCGTCCGTGCAATCCATTCCTATTCGCCGACTGCGACCGTACTGGTCTGATATTTGCGGGTCTGCGCGAAGCGTACCACGTTAATTGTCCGGCACGGGGTGCCATCGCCGCCTCGGGCGGTTGGAACCGAGGGTTGCGCGGGCCCCACAGCGGATGTCGAGTTGTGGCGGCATGCTTTGCAAGTCGGTGGGCCGCGCGGACCCAGGATCAAGGCAGTTGCGTGTGACCTGTCACCCCGCGGCGCGCCCGTTCGCCGAAGCCGCTTGGCCCTCCCGCTTTCTGGGGCTGGTCGGCACCGGACCGATGCGCGGCGCCGATGCATAGGCCAGGATCCTGCCCGCAGAAGCGCTTTCGTTGCCGGTGGGTGCCCCAGATTATCCATGCTTCCGCGGCGAAGTGGGTCCCACGGCCCATCCCTGCGGCCGTTGATTGCCCGCAGCAGTGTGCTTGGCGTGGGCAGCGGATTGCTGGAGCTCTTTTTCGCGGATGCGGAGTCGGATGAATCCGTGCCGGGGTCGTGACTCACTGGACCAGGCGCGGATCGCAGGACCAGAAACTGGACAGCGTCCCGGGAGTGGAGGCGCACTCCTGGACGGTGGTGGGCGACGGGCAGGACGGAAACTCGGGCTTCGTGATGCAGCTGGAGACCGTGTCGGCGAGCGTTGGAGATGGCGCGCTGTCATGGGACAGTGTGTTCGGGAACGGCGACGCAAACTCCTGGTGAGGTGTCTGGGGCGCATCCTTGACCCGTGCAGTTGGTCCGCATGAGTGAGTGCATGCGCAGCAAACCAAGATCGTCTTCCTGGGTGACTGGTGTCCCGTTTGGTTTGTCTGGGTTGGGGCGTTGTCCGATGTTGTAGAAGTCAAAGTGGGCGTCCAGAATAAAGGGGCTGCTATCCCGCTGTTCAACCCTCTGGTGCTGTTTGCTGTAGGAGCTCTGAGTCTCAGTGCTGGCAGAGTGTGGTTGTGAGCGGCCTCAATATAGTGTCTGGGAGCAACAATTGTGCAAAAGGACGGGCAGTGTCTTGATGGTGAAAGGATAGAGCGTTTTCTTTTTGAGGGAAGCCCAATACAGCGGATTCATTGGCTCTGAAAACCATCAGTGTCTCACGCAAGAACATGAATGGAAGATAACTATTGCCCTTGAACGAGCCAAGGAGAGAGGCAGTGGTACCTGGAATGTATGCACAGAAGCAAGTGAAAGAACCAGCAACACTAGCCGCTATCGTTGCTCTGAGAGGTGATGTGTGTGATGAATTGCAAGAGCTGTGGCGGGGAAAGTGTTGTGATCTGTTGGACAACACTGTTTAGGAAAGTGTGCCTGACAGGCAGCTACACATGCTCCAGAGAAATCCGAAAGCGAAATGAGAAAATCTTGAGAAATCTGAAGACGCTCACGTGCTGTTGTGCTGTGCAGGGTCACTGAGCAGTTTCAGAATTTTCCATTCTTTGTGAGTGCTTACCCTGAAGATTCCCAAGGCCAGATGCTTCAGAATGTGGCTTGTGCCCGCTTTGATTCTGCCCTCACAGATGCGAGGTCTCGAAATGACGATAGCGTGGCATGGGGCTATGGTGCTGATGCAGGCACCTACCAGGACCAGGGCTGGGACGTTGAGGTGAGAGCAAGAACCGGATGGATTGGTTGGAACAACACATCTCGACTGCGTGCTCCACCCCAGGCCCCTTAATGACGCATGCCAGCAGGCATGTAGCATGTCAGTTGAATCCATTGTGCCATCAGGATGTTGGTGCAACCCTGGCACCTGCCGACGAATTGTGACCAACCGCCCTGTTACCATCTGACTCGTGCACCGGTTGTGTGTTGCCAAGGTTGTATTTGTGCCCTACGGTTCCGACACCGAAGATGCCGATCAAGACTGGCTTGACGAGCAATTCCAAACAGCTCAGTGGGGTCAATCGGCGGGGAGCGAAGTGAGAAAGTACTCATGGACGACTGCCCAAGAGCAGCAAGCAATGTCCAGGCCGGCAGAGGCGCACATGCTGAGCAGATGCCTCTTCTTCGTGCTGCTGTTTGCCTGTGCCCTGACCCTGTTTGTTTGCTTAAAGCAGGTAAATCCTCAGCTTTTTCATTTGGTCAAGTAAAGGTTCAATCACATGAAGTGCAGTATTTCTACGTGCCATGAATCCGCATACCTGAAAATACAGTCTGCTGCCTGGTCTACCTTTGCAAATGCCCACCCTTTGAGTACCACAATGCCCCATTGAGAGACGGGGCTTTTCACCTTTACAATACGTGCTGCGGATTGTGTGGATGCATTAGTTACGACTGGTGGTTAGAATTTGCCCTTTTGGCTGTTGGACACGAAGGTATCGTTTTTGTGTGAATCTGTCACACTTTCGAAATTTTAAGCAGGCCATGTGTGGTCATGATGGGTTCAGCATGGCCGGTGAGCAAGGAATATGGCATGCACACATTTGCTCAGTCTTTGGCAGTTTGTATATGGCATGTGCAGTCACACCCCGTATTGAGTGCCACATTGCACAGGTTCGCTGATACGTGGTTGCAGGAAAGCACAATTCATGTTTTGAGCATGGCCCGATTTGGCCCTTAATCTCGTTTGCATTGCTGCATTCCAGACTTGCGCCCTCAGGAGAACCATGAAAGAGACCGCGCGAAAGGCAGGCGAAATCGCTTTCTATGAAGGCATGGAAGAAGACAGACCACTGCTTCAGAAGAAAGGGTTCGGCCAGGGCGACGACGGGTACACGGATGTCATGCTGTCACCCATCGCAGAACCTGCCCAGAAGGCTGTGTATCCATGAATGAGCAAGCAGCGTGACTGGACTGCATGTGTCCAAGACACCTGAGCAGAGGGCAGCGTTCGCCGAATCGCTGGCAGTGCGGCGCCAGTGGTGGACTGGCGGTTCATGGCCTTCTACCGGGGTCCTTGGTGCAGCTGCGCAGGAGTGACTGGAACATTTCGGTGTCTGAAGTGCATGTGCAATCTGTTTTCTACTGGCGGTTAATTGACTGATTTCATTGCATAGTGTGAAGCCAAGCTTGGCCGATGGGATGCTCAGCATCGGAGTGTTGGCTGTCGACGATGCACACACATGCAGGTCCCATGTGTCAGACACGGCCACCTTTTCCCTCGGTATCGCGGCAGCTGTGCCAGCACTGGAGTGCATGATGGCCACAGGTGCTTGAAATGGGTGGCTGTGGGACGGCTGTGCTAAGTGTATTGCGTGAATAACTGCTGATGGGCGACAGAGTGCCGTGGGCCGTCTATGTAAGTGCATATCTGGCGGTGAGAATACGTGGGATGTCGCCAACAAGAGCAAAAGTGTCCTAAGAGCAGTGCCTTTATATGATAATGGACAGTGCTTGTTGAATTTCCAATAACTATCCAATACCCACACCTTCAATCGTGGCGGCAAGAACAGGGCGGGTGCCAGAAAGGGGGGGGGGGGGGGGGGCAAGCAGCTTGAACACATTATTCCACAGAGACCAAACTCATTAGGGGAGGCCTGGAACTGCGTTAAGGCTCACAAGTCCTGCACATGCACTCATGTGATAGTCGAAGTGACGTGCGAAAGAGGCAGGTTGTAACGGATAGCATTGTTGGTGGGAACTTTGATGCCATTGATACTTAGTGCAATTCCAAGAAATTCTACGTTGATCAGAAAAGGAGGCAGCGCTTCGTCATGCTCATAATTGCCCTGATGACCGCAAAACCGTCTTTGGACAAGGTAGCGAACGAATTCTTGTACATTCTGATGCAACGTAGATGTCCAACATTTTGGCGCTCACAAGTTCTGCTGGTATCCAATCAATCAATAGCTTTACAGGAAAGGCAAAGAGCTAGCTGCAAGCCCACTGTTTTGCCCGAGAAAAGCAGTGTCCATGATGTGTTCATTGAAATCCAAATTGCTGTTTCAGTCAGTCCAGAGTCGTGGGCCAATGACGCTTGCCCGTCTCCCAGATCGTGTGGAAAGGTTTTGGAACCAGCCATCACGCGTGACGCGAAACACGTTTGCAAGTATTTCAGGCGAGCACAAGGTACTCTTGGGGCCACGAGCACACCACAATTGGAGCAGCAATTCTGGAACGGGCACATCCACGAACGGGTGCTGCAGTACCGTCAAGCAAGTACCTATGTCTTCGTGACGAATTGCAGAACGGGGCTTGCTTTGCGATCCAAATTATGAGTCAGGCCACGAATTTCTTCCCTGGACACTGGGAGCACTATTGACGTGCGCCACGAAATGTCCGTGTGTGCCACTGGTGGTCGCGTCACCGCCATGCTGGTGCAAGCGCCTCGTTCCATCCAAGGGATAAATGTCCCTAACTTGGGCACCCCAAGAAGAATTCTGTCACTCGTAGTGGCGGACGGAGAAAATGCTAGATCGCGTGAGTGTGGCCTATGAACAATGCCCGCGCTCATTTCCAGCTGTTGGACTGCCTTGAGGGCAGGTCTAAGTGCCTGCGAGGAGTGCCATTAGTGGCGCCAGCTGCGCAAGCTGCTGTCCAAAATGTGCAAGACGTGCGCAGGTGCCGTTCAGGCCATCTTCTCACGAGACTCATCGAGTGCGATGGCTCTGGATGCACAATAAGTGGGTGCCATGGATTGGCTTTTCAACTATACCGCTGTTGCCTTGGCCACCCCTGTGCCAACTGTTTAGGTGATGCTGATGTGCGGACCTGTTGGTGCATGTTTATTGTGGCTGGGCATCATTCTGTTCAGTCTTGGTGCCAATTGTTGTACCAGAGACCTTGGCACACAACCAGTCCTGCAGATATCTGTCAACAGTGTGGTGGGCAAGGAACATCGGGACCAAACAGTAGTGGAAACATCAATAGTGCAGTTATGTTGAGCACATGCTATTTCCAGATCTGACAGACTTGATCCTCTGTCAGCTCCATGGCTTGCAACAAGGCAATGCCTCTGGTCAGGCCTATAGGCACCTATTTCCCACATTTGAATTCTTTCTACCTGGTTGTGCAAAAGGGATCCCTCAGATAAGAGAATGAACTCCTGCCAGACACAAAATTCCACGCAACTCCAGGCGCAAGGAGGAATCAAACTCAAACAGGGGAGCACAGAAGTGAGGCAGCAGTTGTTCAAGACGACAGAAATCGTCACCCACATCCAGCTTATCTGTGCCAGCCGATAGCTCAAAGGACTTTGCCAAGTGCAACATCGGTGCGACAGCATCTACCTGTCCACCACAAGGCCAACGCTGCAGCAGAAAGCCACCAGTGCCTCAGTTCCCTGCAGCACAAGGTGGTCAATTAACAGGGCGTTTCTGCTCAGCAAGCCACGCTTCAATTGCAGCTGTACAAACAGTCTTCTCACACCAAGCAGGCACACTCCCACCCAATCACGTTTACACAGCATGAAGGCGTTAGGCCCTCCAGTGCAAAAGCGGCAACGTACCCAAAACCCCACAATCGCGCGCAAAGTCCCACAGATCTTATATCTTATTTTATCTACTGCCTCGGGGGTTGCATGCCCACGGGAGGGAATCCCCTAGGAGGGGGCCCTCCCGGCCCTCCGGGCCCTCCTGGCCCACCAGGCCCTCCCGGACCACCAGGGCCTCCCGGACCACCAGGCGGGCCCATCACCCCCGGCGGTTGCTGTGCCCCTTGGTACCCCATCCCCGGCATCATGCCTCCCGCCGGCCTGCCGCCCGGCCCGGGCCCCATCATCCTGGGCGGGGCCATCCCCCCCCTCGGCGGAGGCCCGTACCCCATTCCCCCCCCACCCCTCGGATCCCCGCCCGGCGGCCCCATGGGCGGCCGCATCCCGCCGCCGGGGGGGTACCCCATCGGCGGCGGGCCCCCCCTTCCGGGGGCGTGCGGCATGCGGGACGCCATCGGGCCCCTCCCCCCTTGAGGAGGGCCTCCTCCCATGGGGCCCATGGGCCGCACGGGTGGCGGCCCCCCCACGCCTCCACCAGCCATCAGGGCAGAGAATCCCGCTGCCACGTGCGCCTGGAAGGCCTCCCGGGATCGCGCGTCGTACTCCCGGCCCCGCACGTCGCCGTTGGCGCCCTCCGGCGGCTGCTCCTCGAACTGCATGTAGTAGTTGCGCACATTGGCCTTGTGCTTGTAGCCGGCGTTGTGCTGCTTGCGCACGGCCGGCGAGTCGTGCGTGAGGTACGTGTCGCAGTAGTCGCAGTAGTAGCGCGGCATGGCGCGGCGGGGCGCCTTGGCGGGGCGTACGCCCGCGAGGCCAAGCAGCCACGGCTAGCTGTTCTGCTTCCTGCACGAGCCCAAGACGTCCAGGGCGCACAGCACTACAGAAATTGCGCAAAGTACTGCGCGGAATGCTGCGAAGTGGACTGCGATTCCTTGGCTTGTCTGCAATGGCGAGAGGTTGGATGGTGGACCCGCCTGAAATTCACCTGCATTGCGAAGCTGACGGCGCATTGCTCAGCGCAATGGCTTCCAATCAATATTCAGCGGCCCCTGCCGTGCTCCCACAGGACAGCAGTACTTCTGTGAAGGCGTCCAAGTAGGCAGATGCTCAGTATTCCTGATAACGGAACTCCGATGGAAGCTCATCACAATCCCCACAGGCCCAAGAAGACCTTGTTGCTGCAGGAGCGCAGAAAAGCTCGCCGCGCAGACCACGAACTTTGGTTGGAAACCGCATGGTTACCGTACACCACAGGGGAGCTGTCTGGGGAAACCGTATACCATCTGTCGCTGCTGTGTGTTCACACAACTGCCTCGAATATGCTTGTGGATGGCCAGGGCTGGGCGTCCAACCGTTGCAAAGAGTCCATGGACGCTCGCCCGAACCGAAGCGGGAAACTGCGGTAGCTTGAAGGAGGGGCTTGCCAGCGAGCGTTCAGGACTGTGGCGGACGCCCCGGCGTTGTCGTGTTTGCCGGGCACGGCGGACTCCGCATCGGTGGATCCCGATTTTGTGGTGTGGGCCCAGTTGCAGGCCTCGCTATCCGGCCGCAGGTTTTGCCGTAGTTAGAGGCATGCGGTCGCAAGTCGGGTTGCCGGCGATTGCCGCTTCCTTCACCCCGGTGGCGCCGGCGCCATTGCGGGCGAGAAAGGCACGTGGCCAAAGCCGATCGAGGGCATTGCTCTCTCGCAAGGTGGCAGCGAAGGGAAGCGGTGGGAGGCCCGACTTCGACGTTGGTGCGGACCCGTGATTGCATGATTGATGGAGAATGCGTTAGACTTCGACACGGGTTGGAGGCCATAGGTTGTTGTCGACTTGAGGCTGCGCATTGGGGCCCAATGCTTCAATGTTGCGTGTTTCTGCTGTCTGCCGCAGATCCCAGCAGAGATTTGTTGCAATGCCCCAGTCTTCGCGAGCATTTGTCCCCAAGGTAACGCCTCCAGGTTTGTACTAAAGCAACGCCTCCTTGGGAGGAAAGGCCTTCTTGCAACTTCGCGGCATTTTGTCTGGGCACAGTTTTTCTAGTATGCATTTCCTCCTACTTTCGTACCCAGCCGTTCCCCACTTTCAATCTGCACACTTTGGGTTGCCCATAATCATCAATTTTTTAATATGATTGATTACATCTGTGGCCAGGCCGAGTCCATTTGTTGCCCACAGAAACTTTGGAGGGGGATTTGGTGAGTGGCATTTGCTCTCTGCCCTTCATAGCCGAACCTGACCTCTCTCAGCGATTATTTTCTTCTTCAGGTTGCCAACAGTCTAACAGTGTTGCCCTCAGAATGCAGAAAGCTGCCGTGCGAATGCTCAGCACGAGGTTGCTGTTAGCACCAGCAGTCAGGGCTGACACGTTCACCATGTTCGACATGTGCAGTGAACGACAACGATCGGGTGTCACTGAAATCTATCGAGTTCGCCTCACCTGACTCAACAGGTAGTTTTTTACTGTCCTGGCTTCCTGCATGTTGTCTGTGAGTCTGGATTTTCCAATCGTTGTGCACGTGCTGCGATCGTCACTGATGTTTGTAGCTTAGATCCAATATTTGAGTGCCCCTGGATCTTGGCATCGACATCAATTGACGACTTCTGTCCACATGGAATTTTAAACACACTAGAAATTGCTGCGTATCGCAGGGGCTGGCTGTCAGGGCGTTAAATATCAGACCATGGATGAGGAGACAGGAGATGTGTCAGATGTGTGCCTGGAGCTTCCTGCGTATGCTGTTCGGGCAGGGGCACGGGAGAACATACTGATGGACCCAGCAAAAGTCACTGCTGCGATTGTGACTTGTGGTGGGCTGTGTCCAGGCCTGAATAATGTTGTTGCTGGCCTTGTGAACAAATTGATGGACTATGGTGTCAAGGGAGGGAATATTCTGGGAATCAGGTGTGGATCTTTTCAATTTGCTGTTGCTGTTTGGCTTCTGTAAACGTGCACAATGTCAGTTGCAGGGGAAATCATGCTTGATCGAAGATGCACTTTCCTCCTTGTTTTGTTGCAGCGGCCATGAAGGATAATCACAGCATTCTCTTCTCCAGAACTCTGGAATTGCAGTGTTGGAATTGTACAATTGTTGTGGGGCTAAGGTGAATTTGATTGAGGACAAGCGGTAGGTACAGGGTGTGCGTGCATTTTGGTGCCAAGACTGCCTTGCTGAAGTGCTAGCCTACTGCTTGCACATCCTTCAACTGCACCACGGCCACCTGTGCATCGCGATAAATATTGCCCGCATACAGCTGTCAGTTCATAGCCAGTGGACATTGAGTTGCTGCTTTCCACCACAGCAAGGTATCCAGGAGGTTGTCACTGTTCTTGTTTTTGGTGCCTTCACTGATCGTGAACTGTTGCAATGGGCTATTGCACAGGTATGGTTTTCGAGGCTTTTATGACAAAGAATTTAAACCTGTGCTGCTGACCAAGGAGTCTGTGGATGGGCTCCAGTTGCTTGGGGGTACCATTCTTGGAACGTCACGTGGTGGTGCAAACATGCGGTGAGGCAACTTGAAGTGAGGCCATCCAGTGGAAGGTGAAGCAGATGCATTCACTGTTATGCTGAGTTCAGTTGTTTTCAAGCAGACTGTTGTATGGGCATTTGAAAGGCCACTTTCTCTTGTCTGTTGTCTGGAGCCCCTCCATTCCACCCTCCAGCCGCAGGTCCGATATTGTTCTTATCTCCAACCTTGCAGGGAAATCGTCAAGAAGATCGACATGTGGGGCATCAACATGCTCTTTGTGGTTGGCGGCAATGGTGGAAATGCTGGTGCCAATGCCATCCACCAATCCTGCAAGAAGAGTGATGTGCATTGTGCGGTTGTGGGCATTCCAAAGTCTATTGACAATGACATCTTGCTGGTGAGCTCCCCAATACGCAAAACATGTTCCTTGTTTGATTCCCTCTTGCATGTCCAATCACTGCCATTGTATCTCATGAGCACTTGAGACAGTCGATTGTGGTTCACAAGAGTCAGATCTCCAGCAATGCTGTGTCTTTCTAGGCAGTGCATTTGAATGGATTGCCAGTGCAGGACAAGTGCATCACCTCCAAGTGAAAGATGGCACCAGAAAGCCAAACATCAGCACTGTGTTTGCCCTGCAGATCGACAAGTGCTTTGGCTTCGATACTGCTGTTGAAGAGGCTCAGCGCGCCCTTCTGGCAGCCAAAGTAGAAGCCTCCAGTGCTTACAAGGGAATTGGCCTGGTGAAGCTCATGGGGAGGCAAAGTGGATTCATCGCCATGCAAGCATCACTGGCTTCAGGTGCGGTACTAGTTTTTGAAGTGTATCGATGGGTTGACTGCCCCATCGGCATCTCTTCCTTGATCTATCATTTGTAGTTTCTGTTGTTGTTGCATTAGAAGTTACTACACAACTTCAGGTGCAGAGTGGTGACAGGTAAAAGCACGATTGTGTGTCAGCAATGAGTGTTGAAGTGTGTTGGTGTATCTGCAGGCGTGGTCGATGCAGTACTTATCCCTGAGGTGCCATTTGAAATCTATGGGCCGCATGGACTCTTCCACTACCTTGAGGGCGTAATCCAGCGCAAGGGCCATGCAGTTGTGTGTGTCGCTGAAGGTGCTGGACAGGTAATGGCACATAGGCCATCAGCATGGAACGTCGTTGCCCTCACGCTGGGTACCTTTGATCACCCTGGTGGGAGCAGGGATGATTACATATCAGTGGGAGAAGGCAGCCTTCCTTAGAGCCCTTGCAGCAACAGCTGCCTGTGCGGCAGACAGCTTTGAGAATTGTGCGAAATTGCTTAATTTTCTGGATGTTTTCGATCATGTGCGTGTTTGTTGCTTGGATCTCCAAAGTGAACACCTGTCTTCAAAGGCCTGTCATCCGTGCCTGCTGTGACTATTATGCAATGGACGAAGGCTGCTTCTCAGAATGTGCATGATTCTTATCATGTTTATTTCTTTGTCAGAACAGATTATTATCAGAATGCTGCTTGCCATTATTAGAAGAATGGGCATTGTGTCCGGTTTACTGCTGCGACTCCTCAGCGAGTCGGAACCAACGCTCAGCTGAGTTTTCTGCCAATAGTATTTGCAAATTGCAGGTCGCAAGTGCACCTAGCCAGGTATACCACACTTGCCTCAGTGCAGCAAATGTGAACCTTTTTCTGCAGTGTCTGTGGATTGAGAACTGGAAGGATTTGTTGCCGGTCGCCGGTTTGTCTCCATCTGGTCCTGTTTGCCACCTGTGTTCAACATGCACCAGATGATAGGTCTGTGCCATTATCTGCAGTGCTTTGTCATGCAGCTGTGACATCAGTCTGTATATATGTCTCTTCAGGCAGCATAATGACACAGTTGCCTTTTTTGGCAGTTTAATTTTTGAGGCCTGACATACACCAACTGCTAAAGAAAGAATGCTTCCAATAACAGATGACAGCATTACTTCGGTGGTTGCGCTTTGCAGACCATTGTTGCCCAAAGCAGCAAAGCATCTGAACCACCAGCGACGGATGCGAGCGGCAATCCTATCCTCATGGACATCGGCAAGTTCCTTCGCAAAGAGATAAAGTCATATTTCAAGGGCGCAGATGTCAAGTACATTGACCCGACGTACATGATTCGAGCCATCCCCTGTGCTTCTACCGATCGCATCTACTGCAAGATCCTGGCCCACAATGCTGTGCATGCCGCGTTTGCTGGCTACACCGGCATCACAGTGGGTCTGGTGAACACACATTATGTGTATCTGCCGATCCCTGTCGTCATCGCAGCACCCAGAACGGTGAGTCACCAGGCCATGGGAAGCACATGGTACTGTCACGGTCACTGAGATGACAATGCTCTCCACATTCAGTGCAGATGGCCGCATCGCAGTACAGTATTTATCCGGTATTAGTACCCACCCCCTATTACTATCCACCCCCTTTTTGGGGGTTCGAAACCACGTTAGTATCAATGACCCGGTGCTAGTATCCACCCCAAACTTCAAAACAGAGCAGAAACGAGGGAAGACGCGGATGGTGGCAAGGGATGTCGGCGGCTGGTGTTGGGCCGCGTTGCACAGTCTGGGCCAAACTGCGTTCCCTGCGATTCGCGCATCGATGATGATGATCGGGTCGGCGTGGATGCCACAGAGGGAGAATTTGGCAGGAGACCCTTGAGAGGCCGCGGGGTTGACTGGCTGCCGTTCGGGCTTTTAGCACAGGATCGCTGGGTGGCGGCCTACGCCGCTAGTCTCAATCAAAAAGCGATCGAGAAATCAAAGCCACCCTGATTTCTAGATTGAGTCAACCTGCTCCCCGGCTGGCCAGAGCGGGTTCCGTTGACGCCTGCCAAGGGCGCCCTAAGGCCCAGCGCCAGGAACGCGCAGGCGACAGCGTTGCTTGGGCCGGCCGCTGTTGTGAGACAGCAGCTTGCAAAACTGGCCTAGACACGCCAAGGCGCCACGTCGCGACGACGGACTTGAACCCCGGCGCTTTCCCAGGGCGATGCCGGTTGTGATAGCTGATGGGATCTGTGATTGGCCAATCGCACAACAAACCCATTGTTTTCAGCATGGCAGCTGTGCGAATTGGGGACTGGCCTCTGGGCCTTTGCGGCGTTTTGCGGGCCATGTCAGTCCTCGCTCATCGCATCGCGGAGGCAAACGCACCTCGAGCAGCCCAAGGAACCCCTGTTGGCACCAATCGCTAGTCGCCTCCACTTGGAGCAGCCCCCCAAGTCCAGGCCCCTGGCTCCCGTGATGAGGCTGACAACTCTCAGTAATAGCATTGTTCACTAAGAATATGGTGCTGTCAATAGTGTGATGTCTGTTATTTGTAACTTGGACTTGCTGATGCCGCCTATGCATTGCATCACATTATTTCAAGCCCATTTTTTTGGCATTTCACGATGTATGTTTCAAAAGCTTTCATTGTCTACTCCTTGGATCAGGGGTCTAAACTGCATTAGTATCCAAGACCCCCTATTAGTATCCACTTCTCATTTTGGGGACCCAATACACGCCTATTACTACCGGGTAAATACGGTAGTTTGGTGTGGCCATCCACACTGAAAAAGTGGAGAGCACAGACCAGGTCTGGTCCAAGGACCACACTAGTCGGGTCGCTGGATTTTTGAAATTGTTTGTGAGTCAACAATTTATGACCACTTTCCTGCATGTAGCAAGCTAAGCAAGCATCGTTTCAATCCGATTCTAGAGTAAGGTCACATTGGCTGTCTCGGTCCCTTTTAGCTTTCGCGCTCATCGCCAGTTCAGAAGCGGTTATCTCTGTGCAGGTGGACCCAAAGGGAAAGATGTGGAACAGGCTTCGGGCATCCATTGGCCAGCCCACGTTTTCATCCGATGATGACCCCTTCTCGTCCTTGATGAGTGAAGATTCCGGTACAATGGAAGGAGCGGTTGGAGTGTGAGATGATTGCTGTGCTTGGGTGTTGAATTCAATAAACATTACACCGTATGGGTGGAATCTCATCCTCACCTGTGGGCACATTTCTTATGACTACGATTCTATTGTTCCCTAGCAGGTGGACTGCAGTCTTCACAGCGCCGAAATGAGCTTGAATTAATAGTCAGCGTCTCAATTGCATTGGAACCCAGGAATCGCTCGACAGACGTCCACATGTGGGGACATCATTCAATTCAGTGGGCACTGCAGACGTGGTGCTGGAGCTCTCCACAGTCGCCAGAATAAGTTGCCATACTGGTCATAATTGGTTTACCGTGTGCCTGCCTACCAAGTGTGGCCAGTGCCTGTTGTGGTTCAGTCTCTACCAACGTTCACACGCACGCTGAAATCGGCTCATAAACAGAAGCTGCATCGCCCTACTGCTGTGCGAAGAGGTGTGCCACCACATCGCTGCATGTTGGCAAAGGGCCTTGTGTGTGCCTTGCCTTGTGTCAGCAAGTATCAACCCACAGCCCATGGCCTCCACCAAATTCTATTCTGCCTCAGACGCTCTTCTTGCATCTTCAGAAGCTGCCCCTCCAAAGAATCGATTCGGCAAACCATCTTGTGCAACAGTTCTGCCTGCATCCCCTTCTCCTGCTGCCAAAGCTGCACCACAGAAAATGCAAAACAATTGGTTCGCTTTGGGGGACTTTCGAAGGCCAAATGGGTCCTGTGCTTGAAGCCCTACAGTTATGCCAGTGAGTGGCGACTCCGGCAAAAACCAACAAGCCGCACCTCTCTTTCTGCTATTGCTTCATCAACTATTTGGTCCTGGGAGCTTTGTTCAAGCGCCCGTTCTTCTAATGCTTTGCTCCTCGATCTATTGTACTCCCACACAACAGCAGCGGCCCCCACCTGCTCTCCCACACACAGCACAGCAATGCATGTAAGAGCCGATTGGGGCATCAGGCACAGGATTGAAGGGTGCGAGGTAAAACCGGGTCAGGCAGCACAGATCTATTTCCTGAATCTTCCCGTGCTTCACAGTCTAACTGATCCTTTATCGCACTGCCCAGCATACCGTGAACACAAATCCTTCAGAGACAAGCCTGGATGCCAACTCCATGGCCTTCTCCTCTGTCATGTCCCCAATGAATGCCTTGCCATTCTTGCCTTCTGCCCCCCGTGACATCCTTACCTCCACTCTGTGGATCATCTGATGCAAAGCAAGAACGAAAGGCACAACTCAAATTTCACAGCCCAAGCAAACCTGGAATCCTCAGAAACCCACCGGTTCCCCTCCCTGTCTATTTGCCAAGAGTCTTTCTCGCCATCAGATGCCATTCTGCATGAGGCCAGCTACGTGTGGTGTTGTTCTGTCGTGGCCTGTCCTGCTTGCCAGGGCTCAGACGCAGCCTCCAGCACTTCTTAGGTTTTAGAATTCCAGTGCTTTACTGCTGGGGCTCCAGGATCCAGGCACAGGACCCGAAGATGCTCATGCATGGCCACATGCGAACAGCGCCAATTTCTCCGGATGACAGGGTGGGCGTGGCCGGGAGTGATCTACTTTCTCAATCAGGATGCTCGAGTGCGTCTGAAAGACGTCGCCAGGCGCGCCCGGCGGTGCTCAGCGAGGTGTGAAGGATGGCGAGAGCCGACGCCACGTGCGCCCAATGGGCGCCTCCTCCCTGACGACCATCACCTGAGCCGCCCCGATGCATTGCTTCCTGAAAGTTTCGTGCCGGAGGGCCCAAGCCTGGAAACTGTCTCCGAACGGCCTTGCGAGCGTGCGTACGGCGAGCGTGAAGACTTTCAACAGCAGAGCAGCCATGGGCCGCCAATCAGCTCTGGAGGGGAGACATGGAACGGGGCAGGCACCAGTGTACGTTGTACACAGTACATTGACACGATATCGGCGAGGGCCAAACCGAGCTGCAGGTTCCCGAATACGGTTGTGATCGTTCTTACGCAACCACGAGGCTGCCATGGTGCAGAGACTTTGTTCGGAATTTTTGGTCTCGGGACGGGTATGCGGCGTCCAGCGCATTCCCCTAAACCTCAAACCTACGCCCTCGGGACGAGTGGCATCACACACGTGGCGTCCCGCGTCCCTTCATACTGATGCAGTTTGTTGGCCACACGCAATGTACGCAACTGTGATTGCCCAGTCGGGTGCCCATCTTCCCATGGGACAGGACAGGCGCCATTTAGCACGGGAACAAACCGATGTAAATTGGGTACCCCTTGGTGCATCACAGAGATGTGGTTGGGTACCCCTTGGTGCATCACAGAGATGTGGAAGCTGTACCTCGTATATTCAGGTGCAGCTTTCTCTTTTCCTGCAAGCCGCAGAAAGGCTATGATCGTGTGTGTGTCCACTTGTTCTGTGGTGGGTCGCGCCACCTCGTCGCTCACTTCACCACATCAGTCATTTAGAGGTGGCACGACCCACCTCAGAACATATGGACGGCCACGCACCGGAAAAGGGCATGACCGTTCAGAACCCGGAGCATGATCTGGGCCAACTGTGGCAAGGACTGGGTCTGTCCGCAGTGATTGTCACTTCGGTGCCATGTTGGTATTCGGAAGACAGGAAGAGGCACCACCCAGCTCTGGCTGCACGCCAATTTTCATGCGTTTGCTTGCCATGTGCATTGGCTTATCACTGGATGTGATGAGTTCAGTACCCGCTCTTTCCATCGCTCATGGCACCAGCCCAACTCTGTACTCAAAGCGATGCCGACATGCACAACTGCAGCAGCATTACCACGTGTCTACCACTGGACACATGAAGGCACTCGCATCTTCACTTCCCTGTGCACCCTTTCAAATACCCTTCACATGTCAAGTGAAGGAGCCGGAGCTGTCACAATGATTTAGGGACTTCGCCTGGTCGAATTGTACTGTCCAGCTTCGCACTGGCATTCGACTCCCGTTGGTTTCAAGACACAGGAGTGGCTGGAGGTGTGAGGACACATCCACTGTGTCCCCCACCTTCCGCCACATCCAAGCAGCTACAGAATCACAGTGTGTGCAGGAAATCACAGCCCCTACTGTGCCAGCATGAGCACCACGTGTCCAGCAAAGCACAGCGTTCACCAGGATTCTTGTCAGTATGCCAATTTCGCAGAGTTGACTTGATCTGGCTGGTCCCAAGACAGCCAACTGGAGCACCAGTGTGCGTCCCGCTGGGACACGATCACTATCGTCACCACGGCCTTCAAGGCGCAGCCCTCTGAATGTTACACATCATCCATTCGTGCTCAACAAGCACCTTGTCTCCCACGGGCGCATCATTGACCCATCTGTTTGCACTGCTGCAGGGCGTCAAAGTAGAACTGACAAGCGCCCATGTCGCCATTGTTTGCAGTCATGCAGTCAGTGAAGGCCTTGGACTGGTACTCGCAAGCACCCGCCATCGCAGCAGGGGCCTGCTGAGGCGCGGCCTGAGGCGCAGACCCCGAGTCACCGCTGGAGAACATGGAGTCCACAGCACGGTGGGCAAGAGCACTGCCAGTGCCCAGGGCAGCCCCTGACAATGAACAAACCACGATGGATTAGTCAGGTGGGCATCAAACTGCACAACTGCAAAGTTTTACCAGGGCAACCCCAGGCCTCCAGTTTCAATAAACCTCAAGAGTTGCTTGAGTGGTATGTTCACCAGCCGTCTCCGTCTTCCTGTTGTACTTCATCATCTCAACATTGATCCCACCACAAGGTCGAAACAAGCTGGCTGCGGACGACAGCGTTGTGTGTCCTCTAGGCACCGAGCACGGCAGCGGAGACCACAGGATCACCAAACAAGACTGTTCGGCGCTCACCGCTGGGTGCTAACCGCCTCGCGCACCCTCAATTCCCTTGAACCTTCTCGCAGCGCCCTGACAGCGATCCACCACAAACGAAAATACCACCACCCACGCACCTTGCATCACGGTTCCCGCCAATCCGGACAGCAAGCCGCCTCCTCCGCTGGACACCTGCGGCGGCGCCGCTCCTGCACACCGCCCCGCTGTCAGTACCAAACCAGGGCAGAAGGCAATGCATCGGAAAGGCAGGGGCGGCGACATCGCCTCACCTGGGGCAGGGGCGGGAGGCGGCGGGGCGGCCTTCTGCTGCTGCGTGGTCCCACCTGTGCCATATGACCGTGCGGGCGTCGGCGCCGGCGGAGCCCGCCGGGAAGGGGCAGGTCCTGGCGGACAGGGGGCGACACAGAGCACCTTAGAAAACGATCAGATCGCGCATGCGTTTGGAGACGCGCATCGTTCGATCCCACCGCACGCACGCGCGCGCACCTCTGCGGCGAGGCATCGTTGCAGAGCTTCTGCTGCGGGGACTTCGGAAGTCTGGCCTCCTCTGCTGCGCGGTCTGGGCTTTCTTCCCTGTGCGGTGTTGTAGCCGGGATGGTGATGTGGCTCTTCCGTACAGGTGACCGAATATGCACTCCGGTAAGGGCCGGAGAACATTCCAGAGGGTTGTATGCCCAACAACCGATCACAACCGGCATCTCACCCACAAAACGCGCTCCTGACGCCTCCTGACCACCTTTTCATTCACAGGGTGGGTCGCGTGGTGAACAAGGCTGAAGACGGTCTCCGGCACAAACGCACTGGGCACTGTCTAGGGCGCCTTGGGCAAGCCACCGTTGCACGAAAATACACCAAACGAGGAAAAGGATTTTAAAACTCCGATTGTGGGTCGGACATCAGGAGCGAAGTTGGAAAGTTGAAAAGGGGGCCAGGGTTAGCTGGAGTTCAACGTGTTTAACCCCAGATGGTCATTTTCCCATAGCGATTCGCACCTCAGGTTGCCTGAGATGAACGGGCTCAGGATGTGGGGATCAGTGGAGTTGGTATGCACTTGCCACGCCTTGGCCCTCTCAAGGCCGCCAAAGCAGCAGGGAGAGGCTTTCGACCTGGTGGTTGATATGAAAGGTTGGAATTCATGTTGCATGTGTGGTTGTGCTGGGATGATATGTTGAGGGACACACAGTCATTGGGACTCACGATGCCTGCATGCCTACGTTCAGATCCTCCACCGAAGCCCACGTGCACGCACAAGTCAAGGGGCAATACGTCGAAACAACCTGAATGCGTCAAAACAGAACTTCGTGCGGTGTTTCTACCCCAACCACCCCACTTTCTCCTTTCTTTCTGTGTACCTTTCTTTCTGTGTACCTGTTCTTGGGGCCCGGGGGGGGGGATTCGGTGATGTAAGTGCACAGTGCAGCTGTACGTGTAGTTAGTGCGGTGTGTGGCCTGTCTTCCATTGCCACAAGCCAACGGGGGGGTGACAGGTGGTGTTTTCCACTGCGCGGAGGGCCAGCAGGGAGCGACGGGGTGGGGCTGGCGGGCGAGATGATGTCGGGCGTCATGCACAGCGTCGACATGGCAGTCGACGCCTGTCGCCACGGCCCCCTTCTACCTGCACGCCCCGATGGCCTGCTGCGCTGCAAGGTGACCGAAGTTTGTCCTTCGCACAAAATGGAAGGCACATAAAGAATCCCTGCCCAGTACCACAGGCTATGCGAGCCTCACGTCAATAGTGCAGACGATGGTGCAGAATTCTCCGAGAGCAACAGGAACAGCGAGGTGGCCACGGCGGCCAGTGCTCCCGTTCGCCTCCGCGCAGTCGATTGATCGCGACCGTCGCCGAACGCCTGCGTCGCTTCGCGCGAGGCGATGAAGTCCTTGCTTGGGGCGCAGGCGGTATCGAAGGATGTGCTTGGCAACAAGACAAAGAGGGTTTGGCGCGTTCGAACGAGCGCGACGCACGATCAGGTGGAGGAAATGAAGGAGTTCGTGGAGGAGGCGCAGAAGAATATTTTGGAGCTGAACAAGAGCCGTTTGAGGGCCCTGGAAGATGCGAACAACGAGCGCCACAGAAGGCTAACTACCGGTCAGTGAAGACGTCGAAATGATGTTTCACACCAACAGTTGCGAGATGGGAAAAACTGGGGATGGCCAAATGGGCATTTGAAAGCCCCATCCATGTTTGGCAAAGCGAGCCTTCGACTGCGTCGTAAAGCTGTGGTCGTTTTGCTCCAACCTGCAATCTCTATTGGAGTGCAGACCTTGAGGCTTAGTTTGGGGTTTGGGGTGACGCCAGTGAAGGGGCCGTGACATCAAAGAACAAGACACGTGCGTTGATTGGATGCCCAGGGCTTCATTGCTGCGCAAGGAACACTGGCTTGGATCCCTTTGCTCTGTGTTAGTTGGCCACAGGAGTGTCGGCAGTTTACAGTGTCCTCAAATCCCACGCACCGAATTGTCAGAATGCAGCACTGACATTGGGTCCAGCTGGGCTGTTGATGCAGAGTCGAAATTCTCAGAACTGGAGGCAAGACTTGCAGACATGGAATCCGAAAACAATCTTCTGAGGACCAGACTGTCAGCTCTTGACAAAAATCTTCAACTCTCTCAATCCAGCAATGGGTCCACGGAAAAGGTGTGTCTTGTGTGTGGCTCTACGTGGAGGCTCCAAGAATGTGCTGATGAAATGTTCGATGCTGATGTATTCCCTTTTTAGAGCGCTGTGGAAAGTACATCAAAGAATATGGATTCTGAAGCTGCTAGTGCATGCATGTGGCTGTTCAAGGATGCTGCTGGGTCTGGGAGCTCTACAGCTGCGGAGGGCACTATTACTCTGAAGTACTCAACGGCATGGGATAGGGCGTACGTGCACTACAATGCAGATGGCAAGGGTACGAACCCAGTTTATGTTTAGAATGGGGCAAATTCGAGCACAGCGTCATGCCACCAGTTGTCAAGAGAGCATCTGAATGTCAACCACAGAATATCCATGTTCGGGTTGCTTGCAGCCTCAATCAAATTGATCTTGTGTTGTGTATGGCTCCGTTACATCGATTGCATATCTGGTGCAAGCACACAACGTGGCGTAGGATTCTTATACCCATCTCTGCCAAATGACAGCCTTTTGCCATTAGGACTCTCTGGGTGCACCATCACTGATCAAATGGGTGCATCGGCACACATGTTGTTAGGTGGCTCACATGTACCTGTACACCCAGTTGAGGTGCCCCTGGAACATGTTACAAAGCGTTACATGCATCCTTTATGTCGTGCTGAGAACAAGTTCTGTTGACAGCACTTAGTTGCATACTTTTCTTGTTTCTCTCACATGAAATTGCTTTCCATCTGTGTGTGCCAGTCTGCTGAGCATGGGTGATTTCTGGGACCTATGGCAGGTTCAGCTCATGGAACTTCTGAATTCAGTTGCATCCTATGATATCTCTCCTGCATTGCACAAACAGGGACTGCTAACGAGTAACCTGCATTAGATATCAAGAATGTCCTGAGGCAGACAGAGTCTGCTTTTAGCACTGGAATTAGGCAACATGGGAGCCTGCAACAGACGATGATGTCCTGTAGGCTGTGCATCCCAAAAAGGGTCCAAAGGTCATAAAGTGAAGTCTCCAAAGGTCAAGGGCATTATCAGAACTGCTGATTCTGAGTAGTTTGAGCCTCTTACAGGATGGACGAAGTCGCCTGGGTTGCCAATGGAGCCTGGAGAAGGCAGGATGAAAACACTCAGCATCAGGGCAAATACTATCGAGTTTGTTGTGAACGACGGTGGCCAGAGCTGGGACCATCCAAACCCCTACTCAGAAAATCCGGGAAACTACCGTTTGGGAGAACCAGGCGTTTATCTCCTGAAGAGTGGAGTCCTTAAGAAGCAATGAGTTGGGAACACGTTCTCCTGGGTAGACCAGCAGTGCGAAGGTATGCCCCCCTTGCAGACCATCAGTGGTTCAGAGAGTGGTGGGCCAGAAGACAGGAAGCGTGACGATGGAGTGCAACAAGCCATACTGGTAGGGATGGCTCCCAACTATTGGTTGTTTTGGTGCCGAGGAATCAATTCCAACTCCCAGCCCCAAAATAAACAGCAGTTGGGGGCCATCCCAACAAGTCGAAATTTTCGGTTATGTGCAGCCAGAGCTGACTAAGCACTGACTAAGCCGGCGAGCAGACAGGATCGGATATGTGATAGTGAATTGCATCACAATATTTTAATGAATAGTGAGTTGGGTCAGTGTGCTGCATGGTATGCACTGCACAACGAATTGCGAATGGGTTTTCTGTGACTTCCATCCAAGCAATGCAATGTGCATGTGTTGAACGGGTGTTGGTCTCGTGCAAGTAGCCTGTGCATTGCTGCACCATAGGGATGCAGTTTGGACGCCGACTTGCATGCTGCGTGTTCAAATTTCTATCCGCCTCGGCTTACGTGTCGTTTGGATTGCAGTAGGTTGCTTCAGAATTCAACATTCATCGGATGTTAAGCTCAACGCCTGCCCTCCATCCACCTTCGTGGATCGCAGCAGCGTGTGAGAAGACAGGGGACCAGAGAATAGTCGAGCCAGTCAAGCAAGAAGATTGTTTGCTCTAACCCTACCTACCATACCCTCTCCTTACGCTTGTTCTCTTCAATAGTTTTGGTTTGGATTCTGTGTGGTTAGCGGCGGTGGAATGTGGTGCAGTTCGGCTCGGTTGTGCGCAGTTAAGTTTGCGTTTGGTTGATTGTCTGGTGGGCGTTGTCCTGACCTGACATGTGTACCTTACACCTGAAGCATTCATTTCATCAGGTTCGAGCAGTCAGTCTTGCGTTGAGTTGCATCACAAACCCCGAAACCAAGGCGAAAAAGAAAGAAACAGGTGTTGAGGGAGACTGGAAGAACCAAAACGCTGTCCACATAAAGGGGGGGGAGGGGGGCGCGGCGTCAAGCTTGTCGCCTGGTAAAGGAGCCACCCGCCATGGCCACATTGAATCAAATCGATCGTTTGCCTTTGTGCTGAAAGCGACCTTTTGTGGCGGTTGGCGTACAGCAAACCTCAACGAACAAGCTAATGGAAAAAGTGCAGTGAAGGCAATGTTCCACAGTGGGCTGAAATGATTGCAGCATGCTGAGCAATTGGCGCCCAGCCAGACAAGAAGATCTCCAAATTCGCACATCCCGGAAAGTGATGCGCGTCACGTTTGTGAAGCCAATTCTCGATCAACGCGGACTCCACAGAGTGATCCAGGACCCAATCGCCATCTTATAGTTGAAAATTGGCAGCGCACGTCCCGAAAACCCATGACGCCCTCGTGTTGGTTCACAAGATCAAACAAAAGGACACATTCGATTTGCTTTGATTGCTGATCTGCCAGGGCCCGCCTTAGTGCTGAACTTCCCTTTTTGAGATCGCGCATTCTGTTGGAGACGAACACGTTTGGGGGCTTTACATCGCCTTGCACTCTCTTGCTTGGTGGCACAAGCATACCTTGCAGTAGGACGGGGAGGCGCCTGGAAATGTGAAGCACTATTCTGAAATAAACGATGACGCAGATGCAGCATGCCGCATCGACAACAGACTCCCGTTAGCTCGATGAGTCGTCTGTCCTTCAACGTTGCTGATGATTGGCAGTCGATGGCGAACCTCTGCCGCAACGTCTTGGCAGTCACAACTCCGGAATGCAAACGGAACCAGGGTAGAACCCTGGTTACCGCGTTCCTCTTGTCGAATCCATATGCAAAGTCAATCAGAAAAGTATCAGGAAGTTGGCAGACACTTCGTCGTCCACTGAGGTTCGTTGGCATTAACCCTTGCGCAGCCCAAGCCGGTCGTGTCGGGGAGCCTGCTGCCAGCTCCTCGCCGGCTGCGCTGTGGAATTGCACACTTTCAGAACCGTCGCACAACGGGGACTGGGAGGCAGGGTGAGACAGACAGAAACCGATCTTGCAGCGGAGCGGTTCGCATTGCAATGCCCCCCCTGCATGATGTCATGCACAGGGCGCACGTGCCATCGAGGTCATGGACCATGGCGAAGTTAAAACAACCTCATTGCAGAACACTAGATCTCCCAAGCGCGGGAGATCCATTTCGAATGGGACTCGCGATAATGTGTGCATAGGCTTAAATCAATGATCTGGGAGCGGTCACAGTCGTAAGCCGAAACACAGTGCCCAACTTTCCGAGCATCCGCGCATGTGCAAAGTACACGCACGCACCTGTCATTTCCTCCAGCACTTAAGCAGCAATGAATTCTGTAAGATGCACAGAAAATCAGCTGTTCTGATCTTCATATTGAGTCCCCACGAAGTGCACATGTTCTGACTAAGAGCTTTGTCCCAATTACACTATCCTCGGCACCAAAGCCCTAGGTTTCACCACATTTAGAGCTTACCCCTAATTTAGCATTTTCTCATTTTCACTAGCTTCTCGACCGTTTCAGAATCAGTGCGGGTGTTCTACGATTACATAAAGTTTTGCACCACGCATCATTCCTGTGCTTGTTTCGTGATTTAGTGGCATTTCTTTTTTTTTGCAATTGCCCTAGGGCGTAGTCACACCACCCCTTTCAGTGACGATTTTTCCCTGACAGCCAGAAAAACATGGATTGGCCGCAGCTTGTCCTCATTATGCAGGCAACTCGAACGAGCGTTGGTCGAGCGACCACGCTACAACAGGGTCTTAACCTCACTTGGCGTTGTCCGACTTATCCCATAAAGATTAGCCCTTGACAGGCCGCTCAGCGTCGTTCATTCAACTGGTCTCAAGCGCGTCATTTCCAGATGATATCATCGCTTATTGTGGCCCGAGCACCAGCTCTGGTATGCCGCTTTAGCAATGGAACTTTCGACTCATTCTGGACGTTCCGAAAGTTGAGACACATTCCGCAGTACCAACGGATCAACTTCAAAATCTACTGAAGAAAAATTGCTGCTGCATGGATTGCTGAAAGGAAATGTCTTTTCAATTGGCAATTGATCACAATTTCGATTGTACCTTGGGACGCGAGGCACTGGATGTCATGCTGGATGATGCAGTGATGTGAGAGTCAATGGCCGGGTGTCTGTCACGTCTGAAATATTGAAGCACTCAAAATTACGAGACGCCAGTGTCTTTGAACGTGAATTGACTGTCATGATCATAACAGTTCTATTCACGTTCAAAGACACTGGCGTCTCGTAATTTTGAATGAGGGACTCATTCCTCATGAGAGGCCTCATGAAGGACAGAAACAGGCCGGGCTGCTTCGTGGCGAGTGTTGAGGTGCTGGGCTGGGAACACGATTCGGCCCTCTCGGATTAAAACCACATATGTGTGACCTGGGGCGCACAGCATTCTTTCGAGCCAGAGCCCATGCTTGCAGGTCCCGTTGGTTCTCTGTATGCCTGCGTTGGTGCCCGAGAGAAAGCGGCTGCCAGCGCGACGGGCCGCTCGCTCAGTGAGCTTACCGATCCGGCTGCCTCGATGCACTGTCGTGCTGCGCAAATCCATACAGTGGAATGGGAGTTGGGCGATGCAACGCAAGCCATCGACGCGCAATAAGTGCGGCGTCATCGATGGCACCCGAAGCAGCCTTGGGCGATGCTCTCAAGGGTAGGTTGAACTGTGCACAATCCGCTGGCAGATCCGCCATGCGCTCACGACATTGGGCTGCATGCCGCTTGTCTTGGTCCGAGACTCTTGAACCCTGCGTGCACCGCGGACTCATGGCTGGTGTCTTTCGTGATGGGATGCTATGAGTATGGCTGGCGGACGTTCACGAGAGGTTCCAGGTCCGTCGCAGGTGGGGTGCTGACCACGGCCCTCACACCATGATTCGATAGAATTACGATCGAGGGATTGTCCGAGAGCCGGCACTGATGCGTGTGGCAGAAGGGGCCATGGCCTTCGTAAGGGGGGGAAGCGGGGAATCGGCGACGCGCCGGTTAGCCTGAGAAGTTATCACCAACGATGGTAGGCATCAAAGGGCACATGTGCCTTTGTACCACATGTGCCTTTGATGGCATTGTACAATGCCAAACGGCAAGCCGTTGAGACCAGCCAAGACCGTTATCACCACATTCCTTTGAATGCATTTATCAGGAAAAAGCAAGGCACAGCCCTTTGCGCCTGGTAGGCGATGGCGGGCGCAAGCCCTCACAGTGTTTGGAATCATTTGTTCTTGTTCGCTTGCACAGAGGGATGTACGGAACGGCTCAACAATACTCCATATGCCAAATTGAGCGTGGGGACTTATTGCACTACATCCCCAAGTGAAAGTTGCCGGCACAGAAGTGAACCAAATTATTGGGCATGCACGTTGTTGACTCGCCGGGGTAAGTAATAAAGGATTGTTGCAACTGCCATCAACGTTGAAAGTACTACGAGTTCAGTCAAGTGTCAGGCTGACACTGTCAGCCTCCCACGGACCGCCATTTGCGAGGTCCACGATGTCCAAGCCCAGTTTTCGTTTGCATCCGCGTTGACTTCGTTCCCTCAACGCCATGATGTGTTTAATGGCTGTAAATGCATCAAGCCCAAACAGCAGAGCATCAAAGAACAAAACACAACAAACAGCAACCAAGAACTGGGAAAGAGCATCAAGAACAAAGCGCAACAGTGGCGTATTGAGGAGCATCCAAAGAGGCAGTCTTTGTGGCCGTCCTCCTTCAACGCGCTTGGTCGAAAATGTCTCTCTGGGGCGATGGCGAAGTGCGCTTTGTCCTCGTATCCGATCTGGATCACACAATGGTGGGCGTGGCGGACTTCTGATCATGCGGTGTGCGTCTTGCCGGTGGTCACGTGCTGTTGGTTGGGTGCCCTGAGCAGTTCCTGATGGCCAGGTCGACCACGACGATCCCCAAGATGAGTCTCTTCGTTCGTTCAACACACTCTGGTCCTCGAGCTTTGCGAAAGATTCTCTGTTGATTTTCTCCACTGGAAGATCCCCCGCCCTTTTCGAGGAGCTCAAGGTGCTGGGAAAGCAGATCTTGGGTGTTGAATTGTTGCTGACCATCGAAGACGATTGAAATGGTCATGGGTCCACAGATTGCATTGCTCGGATAAGAAATTCAGGCTTCCCATTCGCGTTGCAAGGGGTCGCATCCTGCTGGATATTCATTCAAGGCAATGTTTATGTGAGCCAATGTGTTCCCTGTGGGAAAGTCCACGGGGAATACAGTCTCCCAGATTTCAGGTTTTCCTTGCGCTGGTCTCCTTTTTGTTTTACTTTTTTTCTCATATTTGGATGTTGGAAGAGCTCTCAGTTCATTTCATGGATTTGTGGCACAGGGTGCCCACCCACTGCTTGTCCCAAATTTGCTGGTGTGTTCCGTTGGAACCGAGATATTTCATTTTCATGAAGGCCAATCCAAAGAAGATGAGAGGTGGGCAAGGATTCTGGACGAAGGCTGGGATAGGTCTGCTGCCCTGGAAGTGGCCCTGCAGTTTGGCTCTGCACTAGCCCCACAAGTATGCACACAGACTCCATTTTGGTATTGCTGTTGGTAAGGAGCACAATTGAAGTTTCGAGTGGCCAACGCCATGTGATTGGCCATTGAATTTTGAAAGGTGGTGTGCAGATGAGCAGGATGTTGGAACAGGAGAGCATTCTGATTTCTGACACCTCCAAGTGTGGACTGATCTGTGTCCTAGCAGCACTTTTTCTCAGAGCTTGGACCATGATATTGATGTCAAATGTGCATCGGAATATGCATATGCCCAGATGCTGCCATCACCACAACAATTTCTTGCTGTACAACATGTCTAGTTTGATACACTGGGAGGCGCATTGTTACTGCCGATGTTGGTTGAGCAGGTTGATAGCGAACAACGCCCACACAAGATCAGCTTCCATGTGAACGTTGAAAGTCGTGAAGAGCAAGCTGAGCTTGTGGAAAAGCTGGGCTTGGGACTTACCGAGGTTGGCTTGAAAGCCAAGATTATTTTCAGCGGTGGAAAGGATCTTGACATCATTCCCATAGCAGCTGGCAAGGGCAAGGCCTTGGAGTTCATTCTTGGGCAGGTGATATTCAACAACAAGAGGTGTACCTCACAACACATCATCATGAAACGCCTATTTAGTGTCTCTATTGCCACATCCACTTGGCGCCAACCCACATAATTCTGATGTTTTGGCTTCTTTGTCCCATCCGTGTCACTCCAGCGTGTCATGTGCCTCTTTTTCAAATCAAGATTGTGTCATCCACCTGTAGACAGTTTGGCCCTCTTGGTTTGAAACACCGTCATTCTTCTGCCTCAGAGATGTTGGCTATCTCTGCAGTACTGCAGCTCTTTTTGTGTAACATCGTGGCAGCTTTTGGAAGCACAGTTCTGGCACTGGCCTTTGCGCCAATAGCAGTGTTTGGGTACAGAAAATTGGCTTCTGTACAAATACAATACGAAATACTGTGATCCAGGCACCTTGCCCCACTCCGTGCTCTGGAAAGGAACCTGAAACAGGAATGAAATTGTGTAATTTCTGTTTGAAAATGTGGGAGATGGATCAGTGCAAGCAGGTCACAGATTTGACCTGCAAGCCCCAGCTGCCTAGCAATTTGACTTTCATTCTAGCCTGATGTCTGGGTGCATCAAGATGTGCCTGGACCAGGCATCTATAAGCAGGAATGTCTGCCTCTGAAGAACTGGGTCCTTGACGCGTTCCTATATGTTGGTACTCCACACAAGGGCAGGAAAAGGGCAGGAAGGGCCAGGAAAAGGGCAGGAAAGGAGGCAGGCAACAAGGACTTACTTGGTGTCGCATTGCCTGCAGCTCCGTGAGGAAGGTCGTTATCCGAAAGATGGTGTGCAAGTGAATGGAGATTCTGGCAACGACATTGAAATGTTTGAGGTGGATGGTGTGAGGTCGTGTGTGGTTTCGAATGCACACACCGAAGTTAGGGAATGGTGCGATGCTCACAAAACTCCAAGCATTTTCCAGGTGGGCGTGCTACTCTGCTGGCTAGCAATGCCTTGTTGCTTTCAAGAGCCCGATTTTAATGTCTTGAGTTTGGTTTAGTATCATTGGATTTTCGCCCCACATTGACTAGCTATGCTGACAAGTGTTGTTGGCATATTCCTTGTTCAGAGGCAAGGTCTGCAGTCAATGCAAAATTGAAGCCCCTTGGGTTGATTTGGAGCAGATGATAAGAGTTTCAGTTTGCTTTTAAGAAGTGTGCTGTTGGCAACTCGAGTTGCATTGTGGTGAATGATGTTGAAACTGAAGTTATTTACCATTCTTTGCCAGATAACAAGGAAAGCATGCAGCACCAAAGCACTGTGGCTTCAATTGATTGAGTCCTGTGCTCACTCAGTGGTGCTGACCTCATTTCACTGCACATTGGTTTGCTGTTGTTTCTGTTGCATTGCCCCATGTTTTGTGGAGCTAAAATGCTTCCCCTGTCATGCAGGCAACTAAACGCTGTGCTGCAGGCATAATGGAGGCGCTGGAGTATTTTGGATCAGAGGTATGTGCATCAGACGACAGACAAAACTATCTATTTCAAAGTGCCTGTCAATACCACTCATCAGCAGCCGTAGCATGAATTATATAGCGTTGCTCTTCTCAGGGCAGCTCTGTGATTTTGTGTGCTTGTCTTGTTACAAGGGCTTTACTGTGTAAACTGACAGTGGTTGGGAAGGGGAGCATGCAACACCTGGGGCAGCAGGAAGCTGAACTGTAGTTCCGCCACATGCATTCCTCACCATCACCATTATCAGGGAACCCGACCACCTTTGCACACGCTCGCACACGCTCGCTCCGCAGGGAGCCAGGCCGCAACCAGATGCATTACAAAATGAACGTACCACCTAAGCAATTGTCACTGCAAACATGTTCGTTCACCGTCTTCCCCCCATTTCTCCATGTACATGTCACCAACACAAACACCATATTCATCGTACTACTTTGCAGCGTTCACCATATATCACATAATCACTTATTTATTGTCATTTCGCCCTCACAATCATCGTTGCCTGAAGTAGGTCTGTCCAGAGGATGTCTAGAACCCAGGCGGTTGTCGACGCTTGAGCGGTTGAGCATGGGTATCTTGGCCGACATGTTGTGCTGGGAATAGAATGGACAGTGTATTTCCCATAATTCAAAGCCCTGGGTTGCAACTCAAAGAGCGGAAGCCCCAGTATACATCATGTATTCCTGTGTTCATTCGTCTATGAGGCCTCAAGGCTGCCCTGTGGCGAAGTTGTGGCCGTTAGCATATTTTCTTGGCACGAGCAGAGGAAGATTGGCACTATACACATGAAGTCTGCACCTGTTGCATGTCAGAGAGGGATGTCGCATACAAAGATGCCCCTTAAGAGAATATGGGCAGGGAACTTATTGACCAGAAGTTGTTTTTGGCCTGTAAGGTGTGCGATTCTGCAGCGATTGTTGCCCATGCATTGGCATGCATTCAATCCCCTGATATGTGGAGAATATACTTAGTAGATCAGCATTGTGATATATTAGCATTGAGAGATATGCATCGACCTCACTGGGATTGCAGAAGTTTTTACAAGTTGGCAGCAAACTCCATTTGGTGATTGTGGGCTCAATGTCAATATTGGCAACTGGAGAAAAGACCACATCTCTTCTGTGGGATCTTCTGTGTGCTCTGCCAGAGTGCTTTTGTATCCATAATGGGCAGCTGAGGTCAATTTGGTGCATGGTCATGAGCGGTTGCTGTCCTTGAATTGTGCAGGAACGTGCAGAATGCGGTGCATTGACAATTGAGACATTTTCCACACGGTGGTGCGGTGGGATCGATTTTCCTTGAATTTTTGCCTTGTGGAACGCCTCTGAGGTGTTCGTGACCTGCTGCAGGCTCAAGATCACTGATTGATTCGTGAGATCCATGGCATGGTGCTGACAGCTTGCATCTGTCTGCCACATGTCAAGAGCTCCCTGTTTGTAAAGGCTTCGGAAGTGGATCACACATAGATGTCGGCATGCGTATGAAGCAGACCGCATCAAGAAGGGCAACGACGGGACAAGTGCCTGCCAATCCAAACTGGCGCCGTCACGGTGACCCTCCAGTTGCATCCCAGTTTGGTAATCAAACGTCCCCTCCAATTTTCAAACACATCAGAGCACTACACACTAACAGAAGATTGCAGTTATGGACGTCATTGATGGCAGGGCAGGCTGCTATTCGAGAAGGAAGCGGGAGCGAAAGATATCAGGCCCTTGGCTGCTGAGGCATTCTTGCTGGCGGTGCCTGAATGGTTTACAATCGAACTGTGTGTGAGGCAGCATACTGTTGTGCGCTATCTCTGTCAAACGGAATCGTCATGCACAGCTCCAACGATACACAATAGTTCACGCAACTCACTCAGTGGCTGTTCACACGCCTCTGTTATGAGACAATCCCAATGCACCTTGACAGTCGTCCCGTGAAGAATTTTCTGAATCACGGCGCTGCCCAGGCACCTGGACCGGCGAAAGTTGTTGCCATTATGCCAAATGGCATGTGCTTGGTACCGCGCAACTTCAACCCACCATTGATGGTGGCAGCGCTTGCGATCAGGCCACGCTGGATGGGCCGCAATCGGTCGAGCGAATGGAACGGACGTCCTAATTGGCACCGCCAATAGCATATATCTATCTCAACTTCGCTCGTTGGGGTGATCACATCCGGTAACATATCTTCAAGTGTTGAGCGACGATGCGCCAGACACTCTCGAGAGTACACACCTCGAATTTCCACCGCTTGGATGCATGCCACTTCGTCTGTGCCCGACAAGTTGTGCTCGCCGGATACCGTGTTGACGGAAAGCCTTGTGCAGAGTCTTGTGATACGCATGGCCTGTCATGCCGGAGGAACGCTGGCCGAAACTGTCGCACGGCAAAGTCACCTGTCACGACGTGGCAGGCCATCATGTGCGGGAGATCGGTGCAGCTTGAACAGTTTCCGCCTTGTGTGCATTGGCGCATAGGGCGCCGCCAGAAAGGACAATGCGCTTTGACCATCCAATTTTCCGACAGCGCCGTTTGTGTTTTCCAGCGCTGTATGGAAGTGGGCAAGGCAAGCACTGTCGATAGTCGCCGCATGTCACTCGACGGCGTCGATGCGTTTTGCATCCTGACTTGGTGCAATCCACAAACGGGGGTCACGACTGCTGAGGGAACGTCGACATGGTTGCGTTCCCATATATGTGCGTGCACATGACTGTATCGTCAGTCCAATCGGTACGAAACGCACAAGCAAGCACCGTCGGAGGATGAGCGAGCCCACGAGTACCAAACGAGTACGCTGTAAACGTCTTCGCTGTCGCATTAGGGCCAACTGAAAAAGCAGTTGGGCAATGAAGCGCCCAGAAATATGCCAGAAAAGGCTACTGGAGGCATTGATCAGACGCCATTGTAAATGTGCCCGTGCGCCCAATGTTACCAATGGTGTACCAATTTCTCTCTATGCGGCCCTGTTCGGGTCGCCAACAATAGCATTGGGTTGTGCAATATCTTGAAAAAGTAGATGATTACAACCATCACATGACCTGGCGGCCCGTGTGCTCCAGAGTTCAGTGGATAGCCTGCGAAAATCCACCATTAGTGAGTCAGAATGACAAAGAACGTGTTGTCGACGAACAGCGAGGAGAAGAGGACTGCGTCAGCACCCAGCCGTTCTAAAACGCAGCATACCAATACGACCGCCCGACGCATCGATCTAAAGTGATGTAAAGACCCCCTACCCTGGGGCGTTTAAAGACGGCAACAAAAGAAGGTGAGGTTGGGTTGCTTTGCATGCATGTTGCTGGCAAATTGGCCACAGTCACACGGGCAAAACCTGCCCACTGGTCATACATGTTCGGGCGCATGCAATCCAAAAGGACATGGACAGAAACCGCAGCGATTCTCAGAGATTCACCCAGAAACCCGACCAGCCCCGAACGATGAGCATGCCATGGGTGCATCACGCAGAAACGCGAACGTTTGCGACCGAAAACCGCTGGCCTTGAAGCCAAACTGGCCGGGCTACACGGCACGACCTGTGCAAAGGCCACACACTCAGAGAATGCCAAAAAGGCGCTTGCAACTTCGCAAGCTGTTGTTCGTTCCGTTGCAACCCATCTGAAACTGGGGAGTGCGACATTGTCACGCTGCACATGTCGTGGCAACCACCCAAAATAGGCCCTCGTAGCCTCGAAACCTCGTACATGTCAGCGCATCGAAATTTTTTGAACCTTAAAGCGTCACATCGACTCTGGGAGCCCACATGCGATCCCTCCCAGCTCATCCTGTCCCCGAACGGGGGTCCATATTTGTAAACTATTACCAGCCGCTCACGTAGTCCTCATGCAAGGATTGCATCAACATCACACAAAATGCAGCCTGGGCTACAGAAGAAAATGCCTCGCGAGCCCTCTACCGTTCGGTCATCAGATTCGATTGCAAATCTGCTGCACTTCGCGCAACTGCCATCATGCAATTCAAGTGACATATGTCACTCAACCAGCGCACCCATGTCCATTCTGTTCATGTCAGCACATGGCAAAATAAATACCACCTCTGATGTTCATTCAGCAAACGGGTGATATCGCCATTCTGGATGTCAAGTGTCACTAGAAGAACACATCAAATGTTAAAATAGAAAAGACTGGACACCACACATCTATGCAGCCCATCTCGAACCGCTTTCACATCATTCTGGCTTTGAGACGCCTGCCAATTCAGACGGCCTTCCTCACAGCTGTCATTGAGGAACCAAACATGCAGCATGCCGACATCTTGGCTCATTTTCGGATGGACGAGCTGGGCTTCATATCCTTGAGTCGCAGTCGAAGTCTGAGTTCAACGCACTGACGTAGTGCATGCCCACAGCTGCCTGCACATTGTGCTGCTCTGGCCATGCTTTAAATTGCCGTTGATGGTGTTCAATGTCCCTTGCTGTTGATGATCTGATCCTCAATGTTGCATCCCAGTCTTCCATGATCTGTCCGCTGAAATCCATGCCACATTCTTGGCCTCACGGGGCGCCAGCTTAACGATAACACGTAGACAAATTGATTGCCAATCATTATGTTAAATTGGCCCCATTTATTGGCGTCCCGAACAGTGCAGTATGGCACCGTTGGAGAGGCTGCGCATATTGAAAGGCAAAATACATAAGGGTCGACACCCCGACCTGCCAGCTCGACTGGCAGGCAAGGAGTGCGACGCGCAAGTGCAAAGCACGCGACCCAAGATTGCAGAACGACCTGCTGGGAAGTTCTGCTCGTGTAATCGGCCCTCTCTTCCGTCACTGAGCAAGGCTGACCCGCCACTTGCGCAGCTGCGAATGACCCTTCATTTGTCGTTTAGTTTTCCAAGCCCCTCCAAACTTCCCCCAATGCTGAAGAAATGAACCAGCAGTAGTTGAGCTTCCCAGTCACTTGTCCTTTCGTGGGATAGGGGCACAGCTGTTGTGAACACATGCTGTGAACGGTACTGACGACTACGATGACGATCGCTGAGACTGGGCGGCGAACAAAACAGGATACCAGTGAGCCTCTCAGCAGGCGAAGATCCAAACACAAGGGAACGATGGAACATTGTTCCTCTCAAATGTTGACATTGAGCCAGTGCTGGAATCGTTGTCTAGAGAGATGCCAGAATCTGTGAGGGATGGCTAGACATTGTAGAACGATGTTTCCAAGACTAACAAGGCGTATGCCATGCGCTCCATGTAATTCTGTCTTGGGAGGATTGTGCAAGCGACACAGCGCCTCTCAGGCCAGAGTGGTGTCGACCTTGATCGACAGTGGCAGGCGGGCATAAAATTACTCCCCGTTCTTGTTTGCTGAATTTCGGTTCTTGTTTTCGGACACCCTAAACCCCAACTACTGATCCACGCACCGGGACTGGCCTTGTCAGCGGAACGAGAACCGAATCTCTGCAAACAAGAACGGGGAGTAATATTTTCTCGTGGCAGGCGCGCAACTTGACTTATTTCGGCAGTGCCTTTGCTCAGTTTGGAATCGGAGTCGGTCAGCATTTTGCGATCCCCAGAACGGTCCCCCTGGTTGCGTACGTAAGCAACTGGTCACGGGATACCTTTTCCGCGGAAAGGTGCGGCTTTTCTGTGCCACATGCGCAGCGCGGCGGGCCTTTAATGGCCCCACACGGGCCCTTTACTTGTGCAGGAGACTGGGGGGGTGCGCGGTTTGGGAGCCTGATGCGCGTCGGCGCAGCGCGGCATTCCCGGCAAAGGAGGCGGGTGCGCACCTCGCCGCGCGGGTTGGCGCGCCAGGAGGCCTCCAGCAAGAGCCGATAATTTGCATCGGAGCCCCCTTGCCTCCCCGTGGGCGCCCAGGGCTGCTTTTGGCGCTTCCAGGGGTTCTGACGATCCGCGCAGGAGGGCCCATTGCCTCTTTCCACCCTTCCGGTTTTGCGTCGATTGTCCTGCAGAGCCCGCCCTGGGCACCTTGATCAGCGAGAGCTCGCCACGGCGCATTGGGGAGGCGCCATGTCGAAGGTGCTTTGGTGCCTGTCGCTCGCGCTGCTGTTGACGGCCCGCTTGTCGCGGGCGACGAACGATTACACCAAGTATGGACCGTACAACTCCGAAAGCAGCAAGGACTGGATGAAGATGGACCCCGCCACTGGGTGCAAGGCCCGGCAGTGTCACGTCACGGTGACGGTCACGCGGCCGAGGGTGCTGGCCGATGAGGACTACGAACCGGGGCGGAGGCCACCCTTCCCGACGGTCTTTTTCCTGAACGGCTTCCAGGTGGGTGGCCCGGCGCCATCGCCGCCCTGTTGTCAGCGTTCGCACCGCCTGCTCTCTTGCGAAAGCCTGGCGATCTCCCTTGTGTGCGATCGCGTCTGGATCCGGCGCTGATGGCCCAGAATCGGATGAACGAGATCGAACGGACCCTCCTTGTCCAAATTCCCGCCTCTTATTGATGATGTAGCGGTGTTGACCGCGCGACGGTTTCCGTTGGAAGGATAGTGGCGGCGTGTTTAGGCGCTGCGGGGCTTCTGACTGGCGACGTGATTCGATTGATGTGGTGGCGTTCGCGGCCCCCGGCGCTGCCGGGGTGATGGGCGGTCGCCCTGATCGCCGTGCTGCCGGCCTGCGCAGATGTTCTCGACCTACTACAAGGACTACGTGGAGCTGCTGGCGTCGTGGGGCTACGTGACGGTGCAATACGACCTGCCCACAATGGCGGTGGCTTCCGACAGTGTCGAGGTGCGGCCCAGGTCGCTGTCGCCCGCACGCGAGCAGCCTTCGCCTGGCGGGGAGGGCAGATCTTGCTTGTCGTGCAAGATTCCTAGATCCCGCGGGCACAAGGCGTTTAATGCGCAAAATGGATGTCATCAAAATGGACCATTTGCCATGGCCCCTCCCGCCTGGGCAATCATTTGTAGTGGTCGTCGCTGGTGTGGCCAAATGCCGGGCGACAGGCGAGCACAGCGCGGAACAAGCGCCGCGTGCGGTAACAATGAGCAGGACCAAGAACAGCGGGAATGATCGCAGCGGCACGCCCATGGTGTTAGTTGGCAGCAAAAGTTGAGAGAATTTCAAAATGAACCCCTGGTTTCTGTCCTTGCCTTAACTCCAAAATCGCCCCAGTCCTTCAGTGTTGTATGAATTCTGGCAGATCTTCCTGGGAAAGGCTGCAGAACCTGATGTGCCAGGTTTCAGGCTTCGGTGCCAAGTATGTTGAAATGAAGTCAAGGTGTTCTCTCATCAGGCTTGTCTATGGGGTATTGGCAGTTCTTCGGTAGCTTATTTATTTATAGGGAACGTGTGGCTCATTTGTACATTCTCGAGTCTTCTCTGCTTTGTTTGTGGATTGCTAAATGGTTGGAATACATTTGTCCACGCCTCAGCAAACGCCCAAGGGCAGAATGGCATCAAATAACCGAAGAAAACAGACATCGCTTGTTAATTCTCCCGTAAACGGTTACTTCCCGTGTTGTGGCAACAAGGAATAACTACATTACAGAAAGCGGAACGCAGTGTTGTTCTCATCGATTGCACAAGATACCACAAATTTCAGGTGCTTGCCGTGGGCACTCGAATTGGAAGCTTCGGCCAAGAGGTGAGTAACATTTTACTGTTGCATTGCTGTGCGGTGGCATTAGTAGCAGCCACAATGCAAACCGCCAGTAGCATGGCAGAAAGAGGGAAGTGGTCTGGACAACAAAGGCAGATGTTCTGCAAGCAATAACCCAGCTCCATGACATGCGGGCAGAATATGGTAACAACATTTTGGCACACCCACACAGGACTCTGCATGTTGGCTTGTCCACGTTTGTGCGATCTGGTGCTGCTGATGGTTGCTCATGCACTTCAACCCGAGAGACCATATCTCTGCATTTGTTGAGGCAGGACAGTCTGCACCAGAACATCTCCAAAATACACTAATTTGTGGAATGGAGCTGACTGTCCGGCTGCTTTTCCATCGCAATGCCGCATCTCCCAAAGCATGAGTTAGAGGTGTCCGTCAGAGTGGGGGGTTTGTTTGGAGAGCAGCACAGCTTCCGAAAGCTTGGCGCTTTGCAGCAATTGGAAAGATGCAACTTTCAATGAATGCGTTGATGTGCACGCATGCTTGGTCTTCTGAATGCAACGCATTTGTAATGTGCAAGTTCGGACAGGTGGGGATATTTGGCCAGCTTCTTTTGGACTGGTTTACGCCTTTGGTTGCAAATTTCGTTGGGAGATTGCATCCCAGCCATTCTGTGTGACATCGCGTTACAGGTGACAGGACAGTGCTTTGCCGCCTGTGGCACATCATATCCAGATATGTGCACGTGGCAACCTGTTCCGATGGAATGTCCTTTTTGCTTCTGTTGCTGCAGGCGAGGTACCTGGGACCCCTGCTGGACTGGCTGGAGGACCAGCATAGTACCATGGGCAGTTTTGTGAATGGCCTCATTGATATGGACAGGCTGGCAGTGTCAGGGCACAGCAGGGGTGCAAAGTTGGCAGCACTGCATCTGACACGTAAGACCTGGGCTCCATTCCCCTCACCACTCTAGGGATGCTGTCATAGGCAAGAGTGCATCACTGCTGAATGAGATTGCTCTTGTGATGTTTGGTTGTTCTTTTTCTGCTCCCAACTTTGCACAACACATGTAACAAATTAGATGCTCCCTACTCCCAAGAGGAAAAGAGATATGGGCCTGTGGCCACCGGAGAAGTGATGGGAAGCGATACAAGGCTGTAAAACGACTGGGGTGCCATATGAAAACTGTAAAACCCTTTGATCAGAGAACCCAGCACTACAGGGGAGAAAGAGAGTGTGTGAATGTGTTTCAGATCACAATATTTGTGAACCAATAGTAAGGTTGCAGCGTGCATTTGTGCAAACGATTTGGATCTCAACCATGCTCACATCTGTCACTTGTTCGACCCATGAAAAGATTTTCCTATTTGTTATGGATAGTGTTCCGCTCTGTGCTCAAGGGAAGGATTGAAATAGGGCTCAGTGGGAGACTGTGGTCGTTTCTTTTGTGCTTGCTCATTATAGCTTTCGCTGATGTTGACTGAAAATGCAAAAGTGTTGTCTCACCCAGCATTCATGTTGTCAACTACCATCGATTTCTGACCATTTTGTTCACTTGTCTGCCTTTTTGCAGAGAATCCAGAGATTAAGACTGCATACCTAATCGATCCAGTAGACTGTGACAAGAAGTATCGCAAGGAGAGTCCAGAGAACCCCAGTGCTGTGAAAGCACTGGCAGCAGGCCCTCCGCGGCATGTTGGCATCGTAGGTATGACATGGGGACACAAGGGACAATATGTTGGCCGTGGGGCCTGTCTGAATTCCACTAAGGGAATTCCGTTGATAGTTATTGACCATTCCTTTCTCCTAGACTCATAGATTGCAGGCAAGGTAAGGAGCATTCTGGAACAAACAACTTGGTTGAGCTCTGCCCCATTGTTGCCTTCATGCGACTAGGGCAATGGTTTTGTATATTTGGCAAATCTCACGGAATGGATATTTGTGACATGTACATATTGCAGTAAACAGGACACATACCAATGTTGTGTATTCCAGCATGGTATCACAACGGCAGTACGGGTATGGTAGAATGTGTGGCCATAGCAAGACAGAATGCAGAGGATGCATGTAAACAGAAATGAAACAAGACAGAATGTAGTGGGCATCCCTACTGTAGCAATTTTTGATGCTGTAGGAATGGTGCACAACACTTAAATGCAGCACAAAAGGTGCAGAAGATACTGTGTCTAACCCTTTGAAGTGGTGGTTGGCTAAAATGCAGCAAACCACAAGTTTTGTTGTCCTTTTTTTGCCAAGCAGGTTACTGGCCTGTGTGTGCCAGGCCTTGATAAATGGAGTCCAAGTTGCTCTAAATTAATCTGTATTGCAGTTGACAGTATACTTGGCCATAATGGGATTTCTTGATTTAGACCTGGAGTACCACACAATCCTGTGTTTCAAGGCTCGTTTGACTAAGTCCAGGAACGTTCAACGGTGTGGTATGGTGTATTTGCAGGATCAGGAGACGTGGGGAGTTGCAACCCCGTAGGGTCGAACTACAACAATTTCTGGGGTGCAGTGGGCAATGGCTCGTGGCTCACAGTGGTGTCCAAGTGCACGCACTCCCAGTTTATCAATGCACCACCTCTTGCGGCAGCTATGTTCAACATGTTGTGTGGAACTGGCAAAACAAGCACCCAGGTAGGCAGCTGCATTGTTCTGCAATTGTTCCTTGTAGTCTCAGCAGTACGAATTTCACATGCCATGGGCACAGCTGCTCAGTAGCGATGTAATCACAGCAAGGTGTCCTGACTTCACTGGAGCTATCTTTTTTATAGCTTCAGCGGAGTAAATGGCACAAGTTGCAATCCTGTATCGCCAGTGATGGCGATGGGTTTGTGTTGTATGACAATCAGGCATTTCGATCCTGCTGCAGCACGTTGTCCCATGTGCTGCACCAGCAAACCCGATTCAGGCAAAGACTATAAACAAGAGATAACAGATACATTGTTGTGGGCTGATTGCCAAGGCCATAGTGGCTGTGCATGTAAGCGCAGACATTGCCTTTGGAGCAGCATTGATTTGTTGCAAGGTGTTCCTTGAAAAATAACACGCATGCTATGGTGGCTTTGTGGGTGTGCAGGACGTTATTCGCAGCACGAGGCCAGGATTGGTGGCTTGGATGGAAGGCACCCTGTATCAGTCACACCTGCATGCACTTGTCAGGGAGCACCTGTCTGGTCAACAGGTGTGTTTCTGGGTGGCTGTAGATGTGACATACTGCAGTAGCTTGCAGCCTGGAATCACAGTTGTAAAGATGATCATCAAGAGAAGACACAGCTGGATGGCATTACACAGGGTTGGATACCCATGTACATGGTGTACTTGTGGTGCCAGTATTCCAGTGAAACGCATAGGTGCTGTTCCAGCAAGGATGGGTGGGAAATTGTGGTTATTGACACAGTAACAGCAGTGTTATTTCAAATCACTAATATACCCCAGGATGCCACAAGTAGCTGGGGCGAGTCCTACCAGTCACAGGAATAGCCGTGTTGTGTCTATTTTATCTGCAAGTTGAATGTGTCATGGACAATGTGGTCAACAGCAGCACATTGAGGAAGGTTTGGGTAAGGTTGTTGTGCAGGCAGGATCTTTCCTCGATGCGTTTTTCCAGTGGGTATATCGGATGGAGGCGGAGGACATCTTCACTTTCAATGTCAAGACCTCTGCCAGCTCAGTGGCTGCAGAACGTTCTCAGGCAGTCCAGCAGGCGGCTGTCGTGGCAACAACCTGACACATCACAAACTCCCTACTGAATTCCCATCTTTCTTGATCTGGGATGAGTTTTGCGCTTTTTTGCTTTTTTGGTAGTTTGGGTGATCCCTCGCCTGGGAGGGTTGGCAGCATTGCCTGCCATATTGGTGTGTGAGGGTGGCGCTGGAGATCACAATGTGAACAGACGAGGCTTCGAGTGGGACGCTGGGGCATCATAGGCAGGTATGGCATCTGCCTAGATGCAATGCACGGCCAGAAGTTTGAAAGGAATGAGGATTGTCCAGTGTTGCAGGTTTTGTACGGTGGAGTGGGGAGGGCAAAGCATGTCCTTTCTGGTTGGCTGTGCGTGAAGAAAATTACTGCTAGAACGGGATGTGTATAACGGCATGGAATTTGGGCCCAGCAACGCTTCGCGAATCTAGCGAGCTGCACAAACTCTGCATTATGTGAATGAGGAGAATAACGTTGCTGGGACAGGGCAGTAGAAGACATGGCATTTTTGTGAGCTCAACTTCAGTCAGGATGACGTTGGTTGTAGTATAACCGGGTTTGGGGGCTTTTTTTCCATGCCAAGGGTCGTTCGGTGCAAGCTGGAATCGCACTGCACGTTTTTTTTTCACATCGGGCTGCAAGACAGGAAATTGAAGAACGTTCAGACAGTGCTTGTACTTTCTGCTGACTCAGCATGTACTGAGTTGCAATCTGTAAGAATCGAAGTTGGACATCATGCTCCCTGAATCTGTGATTTTTGATTTTCTTGTAGCATGTCGTGTCGATGCGAATGGCCTTACATCTGTTGCGAATTTCTATTTAAGCTCAACAGCATCGTTCAAGCAGTACATTCTGAAGTGAGAATGGGAATGAGAAGTGATCAAGTCATTGCCCTGGAAGAAGAACGCGAGCAAACAGCTCTGGAAAAGCACTGCACATACCGTTCTTCTGGGAGTCCCCTGTTTCTTGTTTGGCTGGAAACAGCTGTCCCATGTGTTCTGAGTTTTAAGTTGGCACCCTTGACAGTTTGCAGGCACTCCTGCAGAATCCTGACTTGAACCACTGTGTGACCAACATGGCAATTGGAAGGGACACCCTCCTCTTGTGTGCTATTGTTGATGAACGGCTGTGGCCATTTGGTGCTCTTTAGTTCGCCAATATTTCTGCCCTACCGGTCTCCTTCAAAACCCCAAAACCCACCCCCCGATGTTCGCCACATGACAAGACAATACACATGTATTGTTGTCTATCACCTCACCAAGGGAAGATACTATGTCAATTTTACTATGCTTAGCGTCAAACTGAGGGCACTTGTGATGCTTAGATTATGTAATTGCCGCACAGTCGACATAAGGAGGGAAGATGCCCAAAAGCACCACTGATAAGTGGCAAAGGACCCGTAACATATTTCTGAGGCTCCTGCAAGTGTCTAATCTATAAAGAAAACCTTGTTGATCAATTTGCAGCCATTGAGGCTGCCTGCCTCACCTATAATGGCATTTAGAATCCAATTTTTAACCAGCTAAAATCAGCACAACTTTGATTGTTTTATTCTTTCAAAATGTATGGCAATTGAATACTTGTAAGCAACACCGCATAATGACCACCATTTCACTGGGTGGATCATTTATGCATTATGGTATGCAATGTTAAAGCTCCCAGAAAAGGCACAATCAATGAAACAATTGAAGATTAAGGTGTTGGGACATGTCACTTGCTTCCAAGCTGAATAGACGTGAAATAGCATCAACAAGAATCCAACAACAAGGTCAAATGCCGGGAATTAGGGCTAATGGAACTCCGTTCAGTGGCAGCCGTGTGGTGCCAAATGTATACCGATAAATATGTTCCATTTATGCGGATAATGGGACACTATATCCAGCGGGCAGTCAGCTGCCTGCGCCTTGCTGCCCCGCCTGTGCGCGCGACCTGCCTGGGTGAATGCGGACGGCCGCTGAGAGTTCGTGAACGAGCGCGCAATCCGGCGACCACACTCTGCAGCAATGGCCCAACGTGGCGGCTAGATTGGGCGGACACCAGAGGTCGATGCGATCCTTGCCGATGAAGCGGGAGCGAAGGGTCGCCCCACTCGGCTCGGAGGGGCAATTGCATCGGCGGATGTTGCGGAATTGGCACACTGAGTGGAACGGAACGAGTGGGCGTTGCTGTGCCTTGAGCACCTTGAGCGAATCGGGTGAGTTGGGTGCGCGCGACCATGGGCGGATGTCGCCGGCTACCCAGGCTGCCTCCGAGAATGTGATTGGGGAGCTGTACAAGGAGCTCTGAGAGGAGGGTGCTTGTGCGCAGCGGTCGGCCGCGGCCGATGCTGCCTTGGCTACACGGGTGGCCCTGGAAAATGTCCCCAAGGGGGGACCGACGTTGGGGCTGGCCGTTCAGAGGAATGGCGCGATGCACCTCGATCAGAATTGGTCTCACCTGAGCGGCTCCTTGTCACGCGTGGAAGGGCTGTGCTCGAAAATGGGCGCATCTCGAGGGAAGCAATGGGAGGGGTCAAGAGCTTCACCGGAGCAAGAATAGTCAATGATGTTAGAATACGTCGTGGGGTGTGGGACGTAATCGAACGTGAGCATTGGAGGCGCTCCACCACGCACTTCCTGGATGGACGATACGTTGGCCTTGGAGCCAACGGCAGTTTTTCTTATACGATGAAGATCAACAAGTTTGGGTGTATGGGTTTGGCCCCCCTGACCCAATAGACCGTTTTGTTAGACTCCTATTAGAAAGTGAAAAACAAACCGGTCTTGAGTACCGGAGGAGGTATTTGTAGGGGATTTGGTGTGAATTTGGATATGGTTATGTGGTAGTGCTTAGGCAGCCGAAGTGGAATGACGGCTGCCTGAACCAAGCACTTTAAACCATGAGGTAGGGTCTTAGCATATGGGGAAAGGCGTTGGAAATGGGAAGGTGTGTTGTGTGAAGGGGTGGAGGGATTACTAGGTTATGGTAAAGTGAACGGATGATAAATATTGTCAAGTGCAGTGGTGAGGCATGTAAACTGGTTGAGCGGCTGGAAAACTCGTTGTACACTACGAATTGAAGTGAAATTCGCAGTGGGAAGTGTCATGAGGCGATGGCAATGGGGGGTCGCGTTGTGACCAGCCGCTGGGGTATATTAACCGGCGGGTGGTGCCATTTGGACAGCACTCCACCCCCAACACTCCCAATCGCCCAGCGCCTCTAGCCCAAGACGGAAAACGGTGGACCAAACGGTCTATAGCCTAACCCAAAAGGCTATTGGTCAGAATTGAACGGGGTTAAGGAGGGAAGCGCTGAGTGTGGATGGATTGGAGTGATTTGGCCGGCAAGTGGGAAGGGAGTGTTGAGTATCAAGTGTGTGGTGGTGGATCTGAACGGACAAAGTATTGCTAATTGTGGGGCTATTGTAACTGCATTTTGTCTATGTTTAAGAGCTGATTGAGGTGGAAAAAGTGGCTGTGAGTGTGTTTCCTGTGTATTGGAGTACTGGAAGTGTGATTTTCGATCAGAATCGTCGGTATAAAGTACTGGACGGTGAGGCATCGATACCGGTCAATTGCAATCGAGTGTGAATGTCCATGGAGCTGTCCTTGAAGCTGACGTTTGAAATCAGTAGAGTTCCACAAGTCCAGCGAGACCCCAAGGCGGTGAATTCAAAGCGTGTTTGCCGCCGGTCACCAATTGTCCGCCGAAAGGACGAGAAGTCGCAAAAAAGGGCAAGGGAAGACGACAGAAACGCTGCTCCCTCATAGGGATTTCCATTCGTGGAAAGAACCATTGTTGAGCAAGTGTGGGTGGATCAGAGAAAGCTTCCTCCCCACATCCTTGCTATTCCAAAGGCTCGGCACCTACCGTTGGAACTACAGTCCTTTTTGGTAGCGCATTGGGCGGACTGCCAACGTTCGTGTTGGGGCAAACCCCACACGCGTGCACAGGAGGGAGAGACACGCACTGGCAACAACGATGTTACAATCAGAGGAACCACGTACGCTGAACAAGTACCCCAATGTCAAATTGATGGTGGGCCCATAATAGTATCATTAAGGTATGAACAAAACAGTCCCAAGAGAGAGAAAGAAACAAAACTACCCAACTCCCCTAAAAGCCACACAGCCCGGCAACTAAATGTTGGGTCCCTAAGTTGAACGGTAATGGAATACACAACAGTTCGTTTCAGGAGACGGGCGACTTCATACGGCAAGAACTAACAGAGAACCTGCAAGGAAAGCAAGTTGATTGGGTAGTAGCATTGGCAAGGGAAAAGAATCGTGCAGAAGAGTCATTGTCCAGTACATTGAAGGGAGGGTATAGTACTGGGGAGGAGTTTCCTTCAGATTGCGAAGTGCAAGGGAGTTGTACTGAAGGGGTTTCTATTGGGGAGTGAATGTCAGGAGGTTGTCTGTGCTATAGTGATGATGTAGTGATGTGGGCTAGCGGATCAAGAGTATGAATTTCCTACCAGGGTTGATCGAGGGAACAGTCATTGTGTTGATTGTGGTATTTTAAAAGGCTTCGTGTAAATCCTTTTTCCTCAACGAAGTGGTGTCTGAACGGGACCGTGACCCACAGGCCTGAAAATGGTGGTCACAAGCTGGGTCCTTCAACATCAACTTGCATGCACTTCAAGAATATGGCTTATATGCAAGGCATTCCGAATCTATAAAAAAAAGAAAAATGTGTTTTAGACTTCACAAAATTATTTCTCTTATGATGGACTTTGTGAGCATCAATTTGATTGTTGTGGAAGATGCCCTCTGATTCAAAGACAAATGCTATGGTTGGGGTCGTGCTCACAATTGAAACATTTCTACATTAGCATTGAAGTGTATTGGCAACTTTTGTATACATTGTATGAAGTGGGTTGCATTGTGGTGATGAGTAGGTATCTCTGAATTATTATACGGCTGATTTGTGGTGGTGGATGGTCCTTATCATATAAAAAAAGAGTTTCGTGGGTGCAAGGAGATTTGAACTGGTCAGTTGCGAGGGTTGATGCCACCATCGGTGAGGCTCTTCGTTGTGGGAAGGGTG